TTTACAGTATATCCTGTGAAGTGCTTTGTGATAAGGTGCTGTATCAAGTGCAAAGATTAGTAGCAGTGTTCAATTTTAAGCCAATATAATTTGGGGGCTCAGATGAGAGGAGATATTTTAAAGATCAGACCTTTTCATCATTCAGAAATGCCCCAAACTATTTCATGCATTGAAAATACTTCCGGTTATTTAATATATTATGTATCAATGGAAACTTACTGACGTAATTGAGTGTGTCTGAAATGAAGTTCGTCCATGTCTTTACATCTGGGACGTCCTCCCGATGTGGAAGGCGCTATATATATAATATATATATGTAATTTTATTGTTGTTCCATCTGATTGTCTTCAGGTTTTCAGGTCAATGATGATCATCCTGTTTTCACTGAAGAGTTTCACCATGTGATCGCTGCTGTGTACACTGCTCTGTTCACTTTATACCGTGACCATCCTGATCACACGACAACAGAATGCAGAGATAATCAAATAACGGTAAATAGAACTAAACAGAAAATAGAAGCTTTCGTTTCTGGGGTGACGTTCAGCAATGTTTAACTCAGCATCAAGCAGATATCTACGGGAAATAAAAAGGAACAAGGGCTGCACATTCTTATCAGTGACTGCTGCTTTCATATTAAAGGGCCTAAACACTTGGAATGAAGCTTCTCCGGCTCCATCAATCTTTGAAGACCTGATCAGTATCAGAGTGCCGCCAGATACAAAGTTTGCAGACGAAATCCTACAGGAAAGGTTCGTATTGGGCAAAAGAAATGTACTAAATAAAAGTGCAGAATGCTTTCAGAGCCTCTTGAAATTCAGTAGATAATGCATATTGAAGTATGAATTCATCTGCGCAGTCACAAACGAGGCTGAAACCAGCAAAACTAATCCAGAGATTTGCCTTTCGTTTTGACCACCGGCTTTGAAAGTTTAGTGGATTTCAAATAAACGACAGTATTTATTGGTTCCTGCACACGCGAGTCAAAGGTTTGATCATGTGATTTATGCCACTTGAAACCATGTCATATAATGATGATGGTTATTATCATTTGTAATTATTTGTCTGGTTTGTAATTTCCAGACTCAAACAATACAAGCAATTTATGCTGCATGATGTGCTGGAGAGAGTCCCGAGATCTGCCGGCTTAAATTCTTCCAAACCCGTGAAGAGAAATGTTCCATGGATCGTCGATGTCAGCAAAGGTAACTGATGGGAATCGTAAAAGAAAATATCCCTCAATTCACGTACAATTTTCTTTCCTCGGTCGGATGTTTGACACACGCAAAGAACCTCGGGCCAGGCTTAATAGTGTGCAAACCACACGGAGGTTCACGTATTTCGACACGTGGAAATTCCCGTGTGTGGAATGGTATGCACGCGGCCTCTCCTAAGAGATAATGAACATGTTGCTTACTGTACGCCAGAGAGTACTACTGGGTGCGGATTGGCGAGAGCCAAGACTTGGGGATCCCAGAGTAGTGCTTCAGTGACCTCTGAAACATAACCAGCTAAACCATGGAACCAGTTCAGCTTCAAGGAGACCCTGTTGACCAGCTCATCCCCCCCACCTTCCCAAAAAGGATAGCCGCACATGAGCCAATGCGTTAGAAACATGCTGTGTGAAGCATCTTTGTAGATTTTAGGAGCAAGATTCAGGAGGCCCCCTCGATAGGGGTTAATCTCAAGATTATTTCATGATATCGACTTCTTTCATTGTCAGAGTCTGAAGAGGAAGCTGAAAATCCTGCAACCTCAAACCAGGTACTCTAGCAATGGCGTAGATCATAAAGAACCTTGTCCTCTCCTAAACCTCCATCTTTGCCCAGCTCCATTGGCTCCCCCTTTCCCAGCAGATTGTGCCAATGATCCTCTTTCTCACCTTCACATCCCTTGAACCTGTTCCGCCATTCTATAAGATCATGACTGATCTGTACCTCGACTCCAATTACCCTGTATCCCTTAATCCCCTGACCTAACAAACATATAACCACCTCAGTCTTGAAGATGTGAATGGATCCAGCATCCACAGCCTTTTGGGGGAGGGCGAGTGTTCCAGATTTCCACTATTTTTGGGGGGTGAACAATTGCCTCCTAATTTCATTCCTAAATGACTGAGCTCTAATTTTAAGATTATGCCCCCACCGCCTCCCCACCGTTCTGGATTCCACCACCATAGGAAATAGTTCCTCTGTAGTTATCCTATTGAGTCACGCCCTGACTCCCTTCAACCCATCTGCTCCCTCTTTTGTCCACGCTTTCAGTTACCTTTTCCACACCACCTCCCCACCCCACACCGCCCCTTTGAGACATCCTCCCAACGTGAAAGGAGTGATTATAAATGTAAATTGCATTGCGTACGCCTGTGTAAATTAACCCTTCAGTGAAATCGGGTCCGATTTCTAAAATAGCTTAATATTTATTGGGTTCTAGTTCAGAATTGCAGAAATTGAACATGAACTGGATGGAATGAACGAAGAGTACTCTCGGTACACAACCAGGATTGCAGAGTACAGTCGGGGGGTTGAGCGACTGCAGCAGGAGCTAAGGAGACGGGATGAGTTGGCACAGGTATGGCCCATCCAGTGTCATCGTTATCAAAGCACTTCGGATGTTATCTTGTGGCCAGAAACACGTTGTATCTTCGCGATGAAGCTACGGGAACACATTCTGTGGATGTGTTGGAATGTTTAACTCGTTAACTATTCAATGGATCTGGAACTCAATCCCTCAGCCTTGCTCCCTCCCTCCCTTCCCCCCCCCTCCCTCCCCACCTTCAAAAATCCCACCTAAAGACCTTCCTTTTTGACGGTGTCAGCGACGAGCACTGTATAAATGCAAGTTGTTGCTGTTGTATCTCAACCAGCGGTTGAATAATGAGGGGGGGGGGGATATTCTCTAAGGTAATGAAACTTGTGCGTTTGTGTTTTGATGTCTCCCGCCTTAGGAGCCTGGTGGTAAAAAGGTGGAAAGTTCCAGTCGTTTGTTGCAAGAACTCTCAACAGCAAAAGATGCCGTCCTGATGCTGTGCCTCCAAAGGCGCTGTGTGATGGGCAGAGTGGCTGAGCTGGAATCTGAACTACTGTTGTGTCAGTAGACCCTGAACTTAATTCTTTTCACAATACTGACCACCAGCATTCGTTAACTAATTAGTCCTGCCGTCTTCATGTTTACCGAGCAGTATGTCGTTAGTCGATTGGCGCGTCGCTTTTCCCGGGATAATAGTCCCTTCAAAAAATATTTAATAACAATAATAATTTGGTCACTCAATCCACGGCTGTTTGTGGGACACTGCTATGTGCAATTGGCTGCCACTTAGCGCCCATAAAATATACATTTAATTCACTTTACAGTATATGCTGTGAAATGCTTTGAGACTTCTCAATGACACAAAGCGCTATATCAAATGCAGGGATTATCATTATTATTCTAAGACAGGGCAGGAGGCTGGTGAGAGGCTGTGGACTCGATGGGTCAAATGAGCGGGTTTCAGTTTCTCTGGAAGCATTTCTAACAATGATGTTGGATTGACTATTAACTCTTCTAATTAAAACTGCATAACAGATCCTACGCTCATCATTCTAATCTCTAGTTATCCACAGATACTTTTTGTGTCATTGGATTGTACACAGCATTTCATTTGTAGCCTCGCCAATGTATTGTATCAGTTTAGCTAATCTTTTGTATTCAATTGTTTAATGCCTTTGCAATGAAATTTAGAATTGACCTTCTGTTTTTACGTCCTTTTCCACCTCCATTTATACCTATTAGGCTTTCCTGGAGCTACTGGCTATATTCTAAAATTAAACCGACAGCTGTGTCCGACTCCAGAGCCTGTGGTGTCGCAAAAATAACCTGATGGTGATTTCCACATATTCTCTTACTGAGCCTGTGTGGTGTCATTTGTGTTTTAGAACACAGTAATTGACGACCGTAACAAAGTCACGTACATTTCCCTCACAAAATACAATGTACTGCACAGTACATTCTGTGAAGTGCTTTGAGAACGTCTCGAAGACGTGATAAGGCACCATCTCAAACGCAAGCATCACTATTATTATTAGTCAGAGGCAGAGTGATGAGAGCAATTTGTAGTACAATGCCTCATTCGGGTCAAGTTCAAGATTCTTGACCTCACTTTTAAATTTCTCCACTACCTTCAGCCTTTCTGCCTCCAACCTCTGGTACTCCATCCCGAACTCCCGTCACTTAGCCTTCCTTTAGGGACTGTCTCAAGACAGAGTGGCACAGGGAATGAAGGTAAAACACTCTGTGTTACAAGGCAAGTAAACAAGGGAGCAGGTGCAATGGTGACACAACATTTCAAGTCTAGAATAACATCTACCAGTAGGCAGATTAACAGGGAGCTCCAGCAATTAGCATTAGTGAGTGCTGTAATTACCGGTGTCAAGTGTAGTAACTGAATTTGTAAGTTAAACCTTAGCACTCTGTGGCTTGTGCACCAATGCAGATCTTAGCATTTCTCTGATTTCTCGAAGAACAAGTGTGACCGAGTCGCTCTCTCTGCTCGTCGCTGAGGGCTCAGGCGATGGCTGAGGGGTTTAACGACATGTTTTTCAGGCTCCGGGAGCTCGCACGCTGATCGGCTCTCCTCACTCTCTGTCACTACATTCCATGCAGTTCAACATCATGGAACTTGGCCCAACATCAGGCGTCCCNAAAAAATACCGAGTCCATATACAGCGTCTCTCGGAATCGGTGGGATGCTATCCTGAACTTGCCTCAGTCTGTGTAAGCTCTCTGTCTGCGGGCAAAAGAACATACTGTACTTCACACACGTTATCAAAGGGCAAAACGCGTAGCAGTAGCATAATTACGCACACATTAACGCATTCCCTCCACCCACTGCTCACTATCTGCCAGTGAGTTTAGCTCTTGAGAAAACTTCACTCTGCAATGCATGGTTCAAATTGCTTTCTATTGTCATTTAAAAATAGCTCGGAGTTATCATTTTACAGCTTAGTGATCACACGCTCGTGGCATTGGGTTTTTTTTAAAAAAGAAAACACAACTGGTAACGTGCAATGTGTTAGATAACTATCTGCTTAGAAATTCGGTAACAGTTTAGAGCTACAATTGCTAATTCCGTCGGGAATGTTTCAGGGCAGATTTAACCTTTTTCTTTTTTTTTTAAAAAAAAATCAAATCCTTGTACTGAACCGAGTTGATGTTTTTCATATGTATGGACACCCTTTACCAACGCACTAATTGCAATGATAGAATTATAGCGTAGAATACAGCGCCTTTCACGCGGGATAGAGTCCCGGAGCTACACCAGTCCGCGTGCTCCCACGCCCTGGATTGAGTGAGAAAGGGAACGTGAGACCCAGTGGTCTCCAAAACACTGTGAACACTGCAATTTCTCAAGAAGTAAGAGTGTGAAGAAAGTAGAGTTTAAAGAGTGTCGAGATTAAACTATACAGAACTGTAGCGGTTTAAAAATAATGGTTGATTCGCACCTGTCCGGAAACAGATCGGTCATATTTAGGACTGATATCATTGCACGTTGCAACATATTGGGTTTCAACGACTATATTTCACCGCGTTTGGCTGCCACGGGGGTAAGTATTAAGAGTGCAATGTGAAAAGGGATTCGCGCATTTTGTCTCCAGTGTATTTTCATGTGACATTCGCGTCTGAGGTGCTGAAATCCTGAGTGTATTGTGTACTCGATCTCCAAAACAACACAAAGAAATGAGTCGGCGGCAAGAGTAAGGTTGCTCAGGCAGTGTGACAATCCGAGATTGGGAAAAATCAACCGCTGGACCATTTATTATGGACCTTCTCCTGAGAGGCTGTGCCTGGATCAGCAGCAGCAACAAGTCCTGACTTCTCAACGAAGCAACAACAAGTGGATTCGGCATTTCAACTCGCATCGAAACCGCGTCTGCTTCACCTATCGCTACTTATGGCTCCTTTGAACGCGAGGATTTATTCTGTTCCACTGGCGTTCATCCTAATGGGTAAGGACGTTAACTAAAGTGCTACGTGTGTCCGCTTAACGGGCGTTAGTTAGATCAACTGCCGTTTTCTAAATTCAAGCTGTAAGGAGGGGGGTGGAGGGGGAAATACAGGCAGTGCTTTTGATGGCAGGCGATGACGGTTAAGGTGCAGCAGTATTTTCTTTGTTGTAAGTTCGTGTGGTTTGGATATGAAGAGGCTTTACCCAATTGTCGCAGTGTTTACTGGGAACAGGAAAATAGTACAGCTATAAGCCTTGGATGGATGATTTAACCTTCAATTTAAAGCTTGAAACCAAACAGAACACAGGTGTTTGACAGGCAGATTGGGTGCAGGATGAGTTTTGTCAGTCAGGTAACCAACCACTGCGCTTAAGAGTTTCCGAACCAGACTAAGAGTTTCGGGCATCCCAGCTGAGCATTGGAAATTCCCGTGTAATGGAATGGAGGGAACTCATCCTATTTAAATAAGGTGGACAGCAGGTTAATAATAATAATAATCCTTGCATTTGATATAGCGCTTTTCACGTCGGGAGGACGTCTCAAAGCGCTTCACAGAACACACTGTAAAGTGAATTGACTGTATATTTGTGGGCGAACGCGGCAGCCAATTGCGCACAGCAATGTCCCACAAACAGTCGTAGATTGAAAATGACCGATTTATTATTGTTTTTGGTTTTGGAGGGATTATTATTAGGCTCTGTGTGGAGTAAGGAAACTTGCCCAAGGTTTCGCCCTCTGCCTGGGATTGAACTCCGGTCTGTCGCTTGCAAAGCGAGTGCTCTAACCACTGAGCTACAGGACTCCACTGAGCTACAGGTTGGCAAGAGCCCAAGGATTAAGGACCCCGGAATATGCAACAAAGAAAATTAAATAAAGTTAAATCAAATAATGGTTAAAAAAAATAAAATGTTCTGAGGCGCGAAGGGCAGCGAATAGGTGCAAGTTGTTGTAACTAGCGAGAGAGAGATTGGTCATTAAATGAGCGGACATCAATAGTCTCTTTCTGTCTCTTAAGTACATTGCTGCTGGTCGGTTTGCGTTGAGGTTGATTCAGATACAGAAGCCGAGCTTCAAACCAATATGAAACTCACCTGTATTTCATGTACGAAGAGGGAGGAGACAGAAACCGATACTATTGTTGAGTGGTCGTACGTCGACGCGGATGGAAAAGACACTCTAGTAAGTAGATTTTCAAAGCCGGCGAAAACCACTACGTGGATTGAGTGACCGAATTATTATTATTATTATTTTTAAAATTTATGCTTTTAGGGATTATCACCCCCGGGAAAGCGATCTGCCAATCGCCAATCAAATACTTGTAGATGCTTGTCAATGATTGTACATCATCATCATTTTGAGTTAAGTTAAGGTAAATGGTGCATCTAATTTTAGTTAAGGGCTCCGAGACCCTTCAGGTGTGAATGCACTTATAATAATAATAATCCTTGCATTTGATATAGCCCCTTATCGCGCGGTCGAGACGTCTTGAAGCGCTTTGCAGAATATACTGTAAAGTGAATTGACTGTATAATAATAATCCTTGCATTTGATATAGCGCTTTTCACGTCGAGAGGACGTCCCAAAGCGCTTCACAGAACACACTGTAAAGTGAATTGACTGTATATTTGTGGGCGAACGCGGCAGCCAATTGCGCACAGCAATGTCCCACAAACAGTCGTAGATTGAAAATGACCAATTTATTATTGTTGTTTTTTTTTTCTTGAGGGATGATTAGCAAACGCCTGGAGTAAGGAAAATTGAACCCAGATCTCTCGCTTGCGAGGCGAGTGCTCTAACCACTGAGCTACAGGATAAGCGCAAGTTGGTGGTGGTGGTGGTGGTGGTGTGACATGTGATGTAATATTGATGCAATTGGGATTATCGCGTCGGAGAAAGTTCCACTTCGTCAATGTCTGGCCACTTGGGTCAAAAATTTTGGGTCACCCATTGCTGCCATTGACGGTTTCAGCCCGTGGCATTTAGTGTCACCTCCTGTGATAAAATTCAACCAAATACAAATCCCTCCTGGGAACCAGCAAGTTCAGTGACGGAGGCAGGTTTCAGGCTGAACTGTTTTGATGGAAGTCTTGGGGTTGAGGAGGCGATTCCTTCAAGGTTCTGTCTCAAGATCCTACTCTTGAACCGTGCATTCGACCATCCTCCTACCCCTACCCTCCTCTCCACCCTCCCTGATCCCAACCTGCCCTCCCCCACAATTTTGACTCCAGTTCTGCTGAAAACTCTTTTGAATCGGGGGGGGCGGAGGGGAGAAATTAATTGGCTCACGAACTCTGTGTCTTTGCGACAGATTTACAAGTACGACAAAGAGCCCCAAGAACTAGAGGGGCCCTTTCACGGCCGGCTTCTGTGGAACGGAAGTAAAGACCTCCAAGATGTGTCCATCTTCATACTGAACGTCACGTTCAACGACAGCGGTCTGTACCGGTGTAGGGTCACCCGCTATTTCAACTACAAGATGCACAGACCTTGTATAACGGCTGTCAAAGACGTGCAACTCACAGTGCACGAGGACGGTGAGGAGACCAAGTAAATGATAACAAAATAAAAATCGCGCAAATTAACTCGCAACGATGTCATTCCAAACGATTGCATTTCATTTAAGGTTTTCTTTTTTAAAAAAAATATAAAAGGAGTGAAGTGGCAGTGAATGTGGTCCTCGTGGCCACAAACATGTTTTATTTTGTTCACACAGACAGACCAATTCTCTTAAATATTTTTTAACAAACTTCACTGCCCTGATAATCTCAACACCCTATAGTGCCTTGAATCCAGCAGTTCTCAATCCAACTGACAAGTAACAGGAGAGGTAATACTATATCAGTTAATATTATTCGGGTAATCATTTTTCTGCCCAAACTAACACGTGCACAGGATGCTTGGGAGTCTGAAAACTAAATAGTTTTAAAAATCGCCCACAAAATATGGTCAAAATTCGCTTGATAATATATTCCGTGAAGCTCTTTGAGACGTCTTGAAATGTATTATGATTTTAAACATTTTATTTTCTATCTTACTCCAGTCCTTGAAGATTTCGTCTCCTACATCTCACAAATCCTGATGTACGTTGTCCTGATTTCTTTCACTGGGTGGCTTGTGATAGAGATGATATATTGCTATCGGAGGATACTGAGATCAGAAAAAGCAGCAAGAGACAAAGCGTAAGTCATTCCATTGATTTGTTTTGACACGAGTGAGTGTGTGTGGGAGAGAGAGCGAATGTGTACGATAACCACTGAGACTCCGTGAATGTGTTTTATAGAATGTTTGAGCACAAGTGACACCCTGCAACGCAGTGGGTAGAGCACTCGCCTCTCAAGCGAGAGGACCTGGGTTCGATTCCCGGGCAGGGTGAAACCTTAGGCAAGTTTCTTTACTCCGCACGCCTCTGGTTGCTCAGCAGTAAGAACCCGGTCGTTAGTCGATTGGCGGATCGCTTTTCCGGGAGTATTAATCNTTTTTTTAAAAAAATGGTTATTATAATTTGGTCACTCAGAAGTCGATATGCTTAGCGTACTGTTTACCATGTGAATGGATTTCTGTTGATCAAAAACAAATATTTTACGACTGATGATTTGTATTTTTGGCTCTAATCACAGTTCCAGAACCTACTTGGCCATACCCTCTGAAAACACAGACCATTGCACACTCCTGGTGGAGGAGTAGAAAAGCTTTAACGCTGGACAACTTGGTAAGAACCAGAACTTACGTTATATGTTTCATGCATGTTGGATGATGAATCGAAGAGAAGAAAGAATATTTTTAGCCTATATCTACATATACACATTCTATATATATATTTGTATTTACTGCATTTTGTAGCTTCCTCCTTCTGGGTCACAATTTTCTCTGTTTGTCTAGACAGCCACTTAAATACACCAGACAGGGAGAGACTGGAATAGAAGCAGGAACATTGATTGGCCTCGATTGCTTGTGACTTTCATTCTTCTTCTTCGCTGTTATCAAGTCATAAACGAGAATCTGAACTCTCCGGTTGTGCAGCACGTCTTTACGAATCTTTCAGCTTTAGTCTGCCTCGGTTTGGCCGCTGCTTTTCGCCCACAGAATATACGGTCAGTTCACTTTGCAGTGTATTCTGTGAAGCCGAAAAGCCAGTTTGTGCGAACTTTGTGATTGTGTGATCAGATCAGCCGTCAGGCGCTCTGAGACGCCGTCCGGCGCGGAGGGCGCAATATAAATCCAAGTTGTTGTTGTAGCCGTGATCTTATGGAATGGTGGAACAGGGCTGGAGGGGCTGAATGGCCTTCTCCCGTTTCTGGGTTTCCTCGCCACTCTATGTACAACAGGAAAGACAGTTAGATATACTGTACACTATATTCACGTCTGCGAGTTTCATAAATTTTGTTCATTTCATCTCCGGTGTCTTTTTAAAGAAAATGAATAGTACGTGTTGAGGCGTTAAGGATAATAAAAAAAAGGCGCAAGTCTTGGAACTGTAATTTGTCAACACATTTTATTCATACTCTTGTTTCTACTTTACATTAGCTTACATGTGGGTTGCCAATAGTCACCTAAACTCTAGTATTTAAGCAAGGTTATTTAAAACTAAACCCGCGCACAGCGCAGGGTTTACAGTTCGAGTTTGATACACACAGATCAAAACAGATCTAAAAAAAGTACTTATTCTTGAATGCACATTGTGATACTTTATTACATAATGCCATGGCAAAGTCAGCCAAACACACCAATTTTATCTCATCTGGAAAAGGTCGCACACACCCGCCCACCCCCCCACCCCTCCCCAAGGCTAACGTTAGATAGCATGCATTATGTCTATAAAGATAATGTCTGCCTCAGTTGGTGAGGATTAGCTTCATTTCAACAGGAGTACATGACAGTACAGCTCAGTCAACAGGCACTCTATTTAATGGGAACATTTGATTTCAAGGGGAACTTTTTCCTCAGGCACCAATTCATTCTATTCCTTTAATAAGAACAAATTAAAGAGAGTTTTGTATACAGCTGGATGTTCCCGATAAGGTTTTCACTGTACAAACTGCAACCGAATTGCATTCCAGCACTACTTTGTGCGGTATTTTTGCCCAATTGTAATTATTCCTATCGTACGCCCAAGAGGGGAAAGGTTTTGCACATTTCTGAATTGATTAAAAACATTGTGCGGTCGGTTGGTTGGTTGCAAAACCCTCCCAATCAATCCAGCAAACATACTTGGTATTACACTCATCTACAAATTTAATGCACATCATTTTACAGCATGCACTGGATCAACAGTGTGGAAATGTTAATGCAACGTAGGTAATCCCAACTAATTATGTTTTCTTACATTACTTTAGGAAACACACAATTTCTCAGCCCAGCTGAGGCAGACATTAGACCTTTCACATCATAGTCACATCATCAAATCCTGTGTACAATACAGTGATCATCGTGTGCTGCCCTGTCACACTACAGCAATCAATTTAATATAAATCTTATCACACAGGCCCCAACAGCCTCAACAGAAAATTCCTCTATGGGTTGAATAATAATCTTATTAGTACCGCACACTTTGGGTAGTCGACAGAGTTTAACATTTAAACTGGGCTTAAATGTTATCCAGGTAGTTTCGTTACAAAAAAAAAAGGGTAAAGATGACTCTGCAAGACTTTTTTTTTTCGGAAGTAATACTTTATTTTTAAGAAGGAAAGGAAAATTCTGTTTTTTAAAAAAAAAAACTCTTTGAAATGGATGGAATACAACTAGTTTGTATTTCTTTAGCTCACTGCTCGCGTGGATTGACAAAGGGTGACTGCAAAAAAAAAAAAAAGTTACACAAACTCCGCAGGAATGAACTCGGCAACCAATACACGCAATCTGATTTGGCTTACAATACAGCTCCATCAGTAGTTGGTTAGGAGGGGAGAGGGTTCAATGCCTATAATTGCAGCGCCTTGGGACGTCCTCCCGCCGTGAAAGGCGCTATACAAATGCTGTTTGTTGTAGATTTGAATTACGCTGATTTATGGAATGACCAACAGAAACAGAACCAAAAGACAAGTGCATTAGCCCAAGAACTCGAGTGTCAGTACAATCTGAACAAAGAAGCTATTTCACATAAGCAAGTTCCCGTGCTTCATAGGATTATATTTAGACAAGGCAGCATTTTTGGGGAAATACATTTTTGTTTTAGAAATACCAGTATGCTGATATGGATCTTTCCCTAATACCATTCCAATACAAAATGATCAGTAACAATTGATCTAAAAAGAGACTCTAGACTTACTCTGTGTCCTTCATTCCATTGCTTTGTAGTTTTTAATTACTTTTGTTTGATCAGAATTTATGTTCAGGCACAAGAGATACTTTTCTACATCTGTGGCAACGAGATCAAATGCTAGAAATGCTACGTTTTTTTTAAAAAAAAATTATGAAATTGCAAGAATTCTTGTACAAAATCCTTCTTCACAGTATTACTCAATTCACAGATAAAGAGTAAGGGATGAAGCCAATGGACAAGCAGGTAAATTTCACGAAATAAATTTAGTTTCCTACACTTACAAACCAAAATCTTTTGTGTATTTTGTAATTTATCTGTAGGAGCCTATTTTGAGTATAAATTTCTCCTATCGGATATTTGTCCTAAAAATCTGGAAGAACTAAATCAGTCGCTGCAATGATGCTTAGGATAGACAGTGTTGTAGTTAAGGTAACACACTGAAACGTCTATATCTTAAGCATTGCAACAATCTCACTCTGGAGAATACATTTTCATTCCCATTTGTGCAACAGCATCCGAAGTGAAACTCAAATTTATATCTGGGTTACTCACCAATGGTTGGTGTAGAAATTTACATTTAATCTCTCAACTCCCCCTCCACCCCACAAATACACACACAAACCTATTCTGAGGCTTATACACATACTCTTCAGACCACAGAAAAATCTTTTGCTCCCGACACTATTCTCAAACTCGACTCATCGTGTTAAATCGTAAAAGAACTCTAGTCCACTGTGGGGAATTTGACGGGATTTAGACTAACTCAAATGGCTTCCTACTATGCCGTGGGCTTCTACGGTTCAGTGGATTTCTAACGAGTTTCCTAATTTAAGAAATCCAAGTGAGGTACATCCTACAAAGTAGTTGAAATCGTGCCCATCAATTCGATTAAGAGAGTTGTAAATACAATGCAAGGATTCCTCAGTAAAATAATCCAACGTTTCGGACCCCATTCGTTATCTGCTTTTTTTAAAAAAAACAACTCAATGTGGTGGTATAACGTAATCTGTCTGTGTTTTTGAAACAGTGCAAATCTATTTTCGGAATTTGGGGTTTGCATTGATCAGCTGAAAACATTAACCCCATTTTAAAAGGCAGAACTGAAATTCTGAGCGGTAGTAAGTAGTGTGTAAGTAACAGTAAGAGCTCTGAATTAAAACAAAGCACATTAATTATCACTTCAGCTCATCAACGCGTTGCCACCTAAGGAATTCATGAGCGGCCGGTCAAAACGTACAGCATCTCAAATAGTATCACCGCAAAGCATCTTTGAAAGTGGAGTGTTGCAAAAAGCAAAGAGAGAGCAAAATGTGGATGCAACGATGCAGTTGGAAATGGGTTGCGTTGCATTCAGAAAAACAACTAAACAACATTACTCAAAATGGTTGAATGTCTTGGCTAATTCAACGCCTATGTCACTATGTAATACAGGTCTGTGTGGGCACTGGTTGTAAACGTCTACATGGCTGAAATATTGCTAATCGACCAGAGCTTTCTGTTTTCCTCTGCTCCTATCAGGAAGCTCAAGTCCATGAAAGGACTCACAACGAGTTGGTTCTGTCCATCAGACAAGCGAGAGAGAGAGAGAGGGCATTATGAGATCTAACAGTGTATTGCTATGTAGCTTGGATGCATTCGGAAACCTGTACAATACAAGACAGCCAATTGATCACACAAACTTCAACGGAGCCGTTTAAAATATTCTAATCAACAAACTTACGAATAAATAGTTTTTTTTTAAGAAAGCTTTTTTTTAAAAAAAAAAGTCATATTAAAAGCACCTTGTAAACCAGTAATTGACATCAAACCTGGTATCTGAATCGAACAGGGTACACACTGGCAGTGTGTGTAATGCACCCAATAAGTGTCCGCTTGGAAATCCTCATCAGATAAGGTTCTGCTCATCACTAGAATTGGTGTAGGCAATGGAAGACACATCCATTCTAAACCCTGAAAAGAAGAGGGTTTTGCCAGAATTCATGGCAAGTTTGAATTTGAGAGCAATAGTCAACCTCTACCAAGTGAAAAGATCAGGATTCTGTGAGGTTTGGAGCTATGGTAACTGTAGCTAAATCACCACTAGATTGGCTTTTGGCTTCTGAAATATCAGTTTTTTTTTTCCTCTTTTAACCCCCTTCATAAAATCCCAAAGCCCTGGTTTGTAAACACACCCTCGGGGTTTCCTACTGCAATGGAAGGTCAAAATACTGGTCAGTATTTAACAAAATGGACATCCATAACTAATTCAGCACGCAACCGCAGTGCGCACCGTCAATCGCATCACATTCCAACACTGTCACATCAGAAACAAAAATTGCTTCACAACTTTTTAATCAATAGAATTGATTTTTAATTTACGGGCTGAAGGTGTTAGCGGATCAATTATTTAAATGCAGATTGCTGGCCAGTTTCCAGCTGTATCCTATGTTCCGAGATAGTTTAGGGTGGGGTCAAATGCCCTGGAATCCATTCTGAATTTTAGTTACTTGTCCATCAACTGATGTAACTATTTATTAATGATCGAAGAATCAGAATATATAAGTTCTGAAATGAAATAGAAGTCACTATGAGTGTTTGGCTTTTGCCACATACTTTTACTGCCTCCCTCCCATATCCCACCACAGAATCTGTGTCTCGAACACAACACTTATATTAAATAAATTGGTCTCTGGTTTGAAGATGTCAATCTCATTGAAATTTGGTCACTAAATAACTCCATCCTACCTGCTCCATACACTGTATTACCAACAATACAAGAAGCCTCGGCAAAATCTTGGAAACAATCTCACTGAAACAAAGTTTGTGGATCAAATTGCACAGAAAACTTATTTAAGACAAACATTCATTGAAGGAGTGTGGTTTCAAATCACGGCTCACTATAAATCAGGTCCTACTGCAGAGAAACCTTACATCTTACTTGACATTTTAGGAGGGGGCAATGTACACAAATATTTTTTTAAAAAATTACGCAAATCTATAGCTTTTCATACTGTAAAAACTGTAGATCTGAAACCAAAAAGACTGGAATGTCACACACCTGCAGAACACCCAAACCTGCGTCTCATTTTCAGCTGCCTCACACTACCCCAGAGATGCCAGAAAACAGAAATGGTGCTGACTCCGTAACCACATCAGCACAAACATAAGAGTGTTTACCGCAAGCATCGAACAAGCAATCGGTAGACATGCTACAATGCCAGAATGCAAACACAGGCTCCCTTTCCCTTAAATATTCTCCAACCTGCCTATGATAGATTGCTCGGGTCATATATATATATATATATATACACACATATATATACATATATATACACACACATATACACACAATAAATAAGTCAGTCACATCAGATTTCCAGTTACTTTTACCTGTAACGTAGAATGTCTTCAAGCTTTATCAATAAAGTTATTCACAGTTTCTTTATTGGAGCCGTAGCCAACACATCCGATTAATTCTCTTCCTATTAACCAGATGTAGAAGTGCTGCATTTCGAGTTCAAGGGGCAATGGTTTGCAACAGCTCAAGATCCTTCCCCCTACTATTGTGTTGCATACGTCATTATACACAGAGTACATTAGCACTTCAGTTACACATCTTCAGCAACAGAGACAGAGACAGAATATTACATGCTATTGTTACTTGTTAAGCGTACAGTACGACATCCTAGGATTTACAACAGGAGTGTGTAGGCAGATTAGTGTAGCTGCTGTCTTTCCCATGATGTTTCAGTGCTGTCAGAACCTCGTTCTGTTTTGTAATCAATAAGGATTCGTGTTTTGTAAATTCTTAAATAGCGATGCTGCAGGCTGGGCAGCAGCCTAGAGTCCAACTCACCTGTGGTTCCAGTTTTCTTTTAATATATATTATATATATTTATATTTTATATACATAACTATATTGCACACTATTCCCTCTTCAGCCTTGGTGATGCCCGTCAGTGAAACCTTTCGTGCTTGTCTGTTTCAGAGCTGTAATCGCGTAAACCGATGGCTTTTTGAAGAGTTACTAAGGAGTCTCTCATCTGTGGAGATGAATCAGAAAAACAAAGCGCGTCGTTTGTGTGAGCACAGCCGTTTAAAAAGCGTAATTGTTTTAGAAGGCTTTTTTCAAATGAAAAAGAGATGAAATAAAAGCTTAGGTTTGGAAACACATCTGGCGTTTGGAAAAATATAAAAGGAAGCAACGTTGAAAGCGTTTTCAGTTGTTAAGGAACAAAATGTCTGTGAAAAATAAGAACATTTGCTAGGCGAAAGAATAATAAGCTTTGCATTTGATACAGCGCCTTATCAAGTCTTCGAGACGTCTCAAAGCGCTTTGCGGAATATACTGCAAAGTCAATTGACTGTTTATTTTGTGGAGGAAACGCGGCAGCCAATTGCACACAGCAGCGTCCCAACAAACAGCCGTGGATTGAAGTGACCATCTTTTTTAAGGAATTATTACCCTCGGAAAAAGTGATCGGCCAATCGACTGTCAACCGGGTTCCTGCTTACTGCTAGGTAAACAGAGGCGTGTGGAGTAACTAAGGAAACTTGCCCAACATTTCGCCCGGCCCGGGAATCAAGCCCAGGTCCTCTCACTTGCGAGGCGAGCGCTCTGACCACTGAACTACAGGGCTCCACATTATGGCTGAGGTCAGTGGTAGATATATCTCACAATTCTGCATGAATAGGATATCGGTTTACCTGATCTAGAAGCACTACTGATGATTTTAAAATCTCTCTCCATTTGTGTAGCTCAGCGTCGTGGTAACGCTGTTGTGACTCCAACAGTTGGGCCCATTCCATCTGTGACTGGGGGAGTTTGCTGTAAAATATACACGTTTAAAAGTGTTACGAAGAGTTTCATCGTTATTCAGAAAACAGAAGATGTTCTGTCCCTTGGCGTGTGGAGGTGGCTTATATTAAATTGAAAAACAGAGTGAGCAAGAAAATAATAACTGGGGATATAGCATATAATTTTTTGTGGGACGCTGCTGTGCGCAATTGGCTGCCGCGTTTCGCCCACAAAAATGCAGTCAATTCGCTTTTACAGTATATTCTGTGAAGCGCTTTGAGACGTCTCGATGTCGTGAAAAAGCACTCCATCAAATTCAAGAATTATTATTATTATTATAATTTGTGACCCGATATTTCAAGCAACTGCCAGGATGCCGTAACGCGAACTAGGTGGACCTTGGTCTTGCGCCGAGCACATTCTTATGTAGTACGGGAAGAGAGGAGAATTTCATGCTGTGTTACAAGAATATTCAATAGCTTGTGTGTGTACAAAAGGTTACACTGTGGTACCTGTTGGTGTCAATTGTTAGTTAGCCTGGTTTTGCTAACCTCTGACTAATAATAAGAGGTAAAATACAATGTACCAACCTCTCCTGGAGCCTGATCCCCTGCCAGGACGTGAGACTCTGTGTTGTATATTCCAACATCCACAGCTTGTAAAAGAGCATCATATTAAGGAACACTAATAATACCAGGCTGCAGTAAAAAGGAGAGAGAGAGCGTATCACCATATTGACGATCATGTTGGAAAGATGTGGATTATGAGGCAACAGTAAGATGCTTTGATATTTAAACAATACAATAATTAATAGCATTTTTTAAAAAAATTTACATTTGCTAGTCCGCTCTAGCACCAGTCCAGTTTGGTGCAATAGTAGGTTGACCATATGTTGCAAGATCACATTATTATCAGTTATTATCAACTGACTTGTTTTTAATATTACATGAATTACAAAACATGGAAGAGGTGCGCTGCCACCACATTCAGCACAGAAGAACTATGTTGCCTGGAACAAAATATTCAGGAGACTTTAGAACACACTCCCTTGCCCAACAACACTCCTACCTCCCAATATGATGCAGTAGTTCTTCATAATAGATATTTAGTGATTTGCTTCCTTAGAAACATGTATGTACCACCAAATTAGAAACTCAGAGATGCTTAGCATCCAAACCGGTTTGTTGTTTCACTCGGAATCTGAGTGTTTTACAGAAAGTAGGGGAGAAATAGAAGAGCAACGAACCTTAAACAGATCCTAGAGGAAGCAGTGCAGAGAAAAGGAAAATGCTGATCAGAAAGAGGCTAAAACAAGAGGTAAGAGCACTGAATCCTACAGGACAGAAACAGGCCACTTGGAGAGGCCATTACGTGTACATTGGTGTTTTCTCCTCCATGAGTCGCCTCATCGAATCCTACTGTTTGGTCAAATTAATATATTTAATAATAATTATAAATAATAATATTTGCATTTGATATAGTGCCTATGTCTTTGAAATGTCGTTGAATACAGGTGAATTTTCCAAAGCATGCTTTGATGCCGTTTAGTTTATTATTTGATAATGATTATGTATAGATATAGAAGCCAATAAATGATCTTCCTCACAGCCATCAACACACCCCATTGGCGTATGGTAATCATTCATAGGATTCCCAATGTCCCTGAATGTGGGTGAAAAGTTTCAGCAGTAGAAATGGTAGCAGGTAGGGAATCACTTACACCAAGCTTATGATCAGCAGCAATTTAGAAACACTGTAAAGCTGAATTCCTCCAGTAATTTGCTCTGGGATGTGTCTTGTCTGAGTGGAACCTGATGGAAAAAACATAATAATAATAAAATAATACTCCTCGCATTTGACATAGCGCTTTTCACATCTCCTAGGCTCCTCAAACATTATAGGAGGAACGATACGTCATTCACTATATAAGGATTTCTTTAAAAAAACACACCAATAAATGACATTGTATATCGCGCCTCGCACGGGGAGGGACGACCTACAGGCCCCTTATCAGAGACGTGCCATTGAATCAACTTATTTTTACCTGCCACGTGTTTAATTCTCTGTACTACTTCTTCATCAGTCGGGGTAGTGACAGGGCTGACTGTTTCGTCGAGGTGCTGACTTCGCACGTGCGTGTGAGGTCGTTTTCTCCGCCGAAGTGTGGAAGATTTGTTGGGTTTTTCTTTCGGGGATTGCCTATGTAGTTCAGTGGTCGACTGTTTCTCTACTTTGGCAAGTTCAATATCTGAGGGGGTCAAAAGCGAGAAGGTTTCAAAGATGGGAGTGCACCTTCTAAACCAGGCTCGGTGTATTTTGCTGCACAATAACGCTGGAGAAGACAATTCATTGGAATAATAATCTTTGCATTTGATACAGGGCCTTATCACATCTTTAGACGTCTCAAAGCGCTTCACTGAATACACTATAAAGTGAATTGACTGCATTTTTGTGGGCGAAACGCGGCAGCCAATTGCGCACAACAGTGCCCCACGAACAATCGTGGATTGAAGTGACCGATTTATTATTATTAACAACTTGACAAATTCACTCACAAATGCCACAGCTGCTTCAGCGCAATGTTTCTTACCTAAATGTCTAAAGTAGTCGTCTAAACCACTCCAGAAATTCTTCTCAATAAAGGATTTCACCAAACCCCAGGGCTGTTTTCTGTATTTCAGTTCTGTTGATACCCTATATGCATGGAAACAGTTACATAAGAACAGGAGTAGACCATTCAGCTCTTTGGAGTCTGTTCCCCCATTTTGTTAAATTATGGCTAATCTACAAGTTAATGTAATCCGTCTCTTTTACCCCTGCCTACCAAATATCAATCTACTTCCCTCTTAAACATTTCAATTAACCTGATATCCTGATCCTTTAGCAATTTTCTGCTCCCATCTTCACAACTTATGATGCCTCCTCTGCAAATTTGTACATGCTCTCCTTCACCCAGGTCATTATCAATATATACACATATATATAATAATCATCCTTGCATTTGATACGACGCCTCATCACGTTTTCAAGACAACTCAAAGCGCTTCACAGAATCTATTCTAAAGTGAATTTTCGTATGTTTTGTGGGTGAGACGCGGCAGCCAATTGTTGATTGGGTGACTAAATTATTACAGTGAGGTTGACAAAGAATGGAACCACATTGCCACTGAACAGACCCCGGTACCAGCAAAGCAATAGAGAGATATAAAGTTCCTCCTCCAGGGAATCCCACATATAAACACAGTCTGAGTTCATTTCCTCACCTCAACCTGCTCTTGNTTTTTGCTACTCGTGTCAGGCTGTATCTGTTGATTGTATAGAAGTAATCATGATATGGAACATCATGGGTAAGCACCTCTGCATCGATTACATAGCACTCACTCTCCTGGCTTGCTTTGTATAAGGTCTGTCAATAGGTACAAATTGCATTAATCAAAAGGAAACAGAACTAAGATCTTACGGGATTTGAACTCTCCAATTTCAACAGCAGCAACAACAACAACAAAATTACACGTGTAAAGCGCTTTTCACATCGGGAGGACGTCCCAAGGCGCTGGACAGACAGAGTTTCGGCCCCGAGAGGGTCGGGATCGGGGCGGGTGGAGAGGAAGCAGGGAATACGAAATATAAGCAACAATATCTTTTTTTTCCCCCGGGACTTAATAGTTATAAATGTTCAACTGCATGATTGAAACGTAGCGCACGTGTCAAATCGTGCTCAACAGACACGATGGTGGGTGCATTCAATCTATTCCCCCCCCTCCCTCACGTACCTTAGTTATAAGGTTACCCGCCTGGTATTAGTCTCCAAAAGACAAGCCCAATTGTTACGCTATTACAGCCGGTTAAGTCTCACCTGGGTCTCGGTGACCGTGGCAGTTTTTGGCGCGAGTGGGTTTGTGAGAGTGATGGTGTAAAGCATCACCCGGGTCTGATTGCCATTGTCTTCCTTTTTCCAGGGATGACACACCATGTCTGAAGAGAAAGGAAAGGCACCTCGTCTGATCAACTGGTCACTGAAGCTGGCAAACAGAACCCACTGCCCGTCACTCTACATCGCTTGCATTTCGCTCCGGCAGCTCAGCAGTGGAGAATGTGCAATCTGATTTATGTTATCCCATTCCGCGTCAAACAGTCGATTTCCTAACGGTTTGCACACGCCTAGAACCCGGAGTCAATCAATTGATGCGTCAACGTTAGAGAAACAAACAAAAAAGGCCTTTGCCAAGCGATGATAAAGACCAACTTACCAGAAAACCTCCGCTGTTCAAAGAAATCTTGGAGAAATTGGGACTGAGTGAAGAGCAGATCAAACAGCTTGTCCACATTGAAGTGAAAAACCTCATTGATGTACTGCCTGCCATTCAGATCATCATAGAATGCTTGTACTTCTCCTGCAGTGAGGGAAGGGGGGAGAGGGAGGGGAGACCGCAGATGTAATAAAATGATACAAAAATTCCCTTGCTCGGAAAACGAGGAACTACATACAACTGAACCAACAATGAAACAAAAGCTTTGAGGTTTAGGTGGAAAAACTACCTAAATTCCCCGCAATGATGACAGCCACCTTCTGAATACTCGAATTGTAATCAGTATAAACAACTTCATTACACAGTCTACGGTTAAAAGTCGATTTAAACACAATAAGAGAGCTTCCCTCTTGCTGCTGGTATGCTTAATAGTGTATTTTATAACGGGTCGGCATAATTGACCCAAAGCATTTTACTGTCATGTGCATTTGACCGTATATTTTGTGGGCGAAACGTGGCGGCCAATTGCGCACAGCAGCGTCCCACACAAGGGACTTCCAACTCTGCTCATATTCCCTTTGCTCGATATCTGCCAGGCTCAGTTGGTAGCATTCTCGCCCGAGTCAGAAGGTTGTTGTTTCGCAGACATATTTTGGGACTCTGAGGCCTATCACTGCAATGCAGTCCTGAGGAAACCAGTACTGTTGAAGGTGCCTTGGCACTATCCAAAAAGCTTTCTCCTCTTGTCCTGGCCAATAATACCCCCCAAAAAATATTGAAGCACAATACGATGAAGTGATGTGTGTTAAATAATCTTAAATGTATTTAAAGTTCACTTTTAAACACTGTTTCCATACCTGTTCTCAGTTTTTTAAAATCAGCTGTAGTTAGTCCCACTGAAATGAATGGAGACAGGAAAATCTCATGAAAAGATTTGATATAGCGCCTTATCACGTCTTCGAGACGTCTCAAAGCGCTTCACAGAATATACCGTAAAGTGAATTGACTGTATATTTTGTGGGCGAAACACAGCAGCCGATTGCGCACAGCAGCGTCCCCCACAAACAGCCGTGGATTGAGCGACCACTTTTTTTTTGTTGAAGGGATTATTATAACGGAATGATAAAGATTGCTAATCTGGTTTTACTGCCCCCTCCCCCACCCTCACCCCTAACCCGCTCTTTCTGATACAGATTGCCTACCTTTGAAGCGAGTGTGACAGCAGAGGTGCCAGGTCAATGACATACCTTCATCATGGGTTTCGGAGGAGTCACTCAGCTCCGTTGGAATGTCCTCGTTATCGTTGAAGTCCAGTGAGGGCGAGCTCGCTGGTAAGGCGTTTTCATTCTTGTCAATGACCTCAAGTGCAGCAATTTCACCTTCTATGTGGAATTCGGTCTCCTCCTCAGTTGGAATACCATCAAACTGCCACGTCAGAAATAAAAACTGTCATATCGGGCAGTTAAACAAACATTTATTTACAAAGGACGCCAAAAATGCAAGAGGTCAGATAACAATCTTTCACTAAAAAGTCTACTTTGCACTAAAGCCAAAGCTGGGTGGGGGGGGGACAAACAAAGCAATTATCAAGGTCTGTCTAACTAACTAGGGAAGAACTAGGAATGGGTTACTAGGGGAAGATGAAGTGTTTTGAAGCGAAAGATAGATCGATTCTATCGCTAGGTGCAGTAGAAGGAGGCAAATTATTAACTAAAGTAAAGCCACAGATTTGTTTTAAAAACAGATGCACAGTCCCCTTCAAAGGAGTCAGGCACAGCAGCTGATGAAATCAGGACCAAATGGTATCTTAAGAGGTCACGGTAATATTTGGGGGAGAAGTTTGTCACGTAGTCTCGAACTCTGGAAAAGCCTGCACTAAAATGCCAATAAGGATGATTGCTCCGAACACTTTAATCTGCTTGAAATTGAGGTTTGTTTTTCTCCCCCATTAGAGTATTTTAGGACCCACTGTGGTTATTGTTGAATCACTGTATATCCCTCAAAGCTGTAAGTTTATCAGGAGCTCGGATTTCAAATCTTTGATTTGACTTTCAATCATAATTAAGTTGGGGGGTGGGGGAGGGGGTGGGGGGCAAGAGAATAAGTCCAATCAAGTTGTAAAGAAATTGTGCCGGCAGAGAAGAGAACTGGAGTTTTCTTTCCCAACCAACGTTAATTATCGCTCGTGCTGAATTTCAGGATCCTCGTGTAATTGTACTCATCTCCTCGGCTTTGCTAAACCGTCAGAAACGACTGCGAGTGTGTCTGACACCGGGATGATTGATGGTCAGGGACAGAGTTTTTAAACGCTCCAATCTTATCAGTGTGTTGGCTTTGCCGTGCGGTAAATTGAAAATGTCCAAGTTATTCACATACTGAGGCAGGAACCTCACTGTTCCCTGTGGAGGCTACAGTGCTGTTTATGACTGACTTCTTGTGCATCTGTGGACTGGCATCAGTCTTTGCTTCCATGCTGCTTTTAGATGAGTTATCATTCACCTCTACCTCTTCCACTGGGATCTCTTCACAGAACCTGTCAGGAGCAGAATGTACACTATTCAACAACAACAACAACAAAATGACATTTTATACAGCGCCTTTGGTTTGGATTTACTTGCTAATTTGCCCCAAGGTATTTCTTTTTTTAAACCTTTATGACATGATTGTGAGGCAGTAAATTTTTCTGTAATTCAATCTGCAAATTCATGACAATTATACCTTTCCCACCACTAACACCAGCAACAACTTGTATTTATGAAGCGCCTTTCGTGTTGGGTAGTGTCATCACATGCAAGAGCTCTTCTTACTACAACAATTTGTACTTAACCTCAGTAAAGGAAGGTATCTCACCCCATTGTGTTGAAATCGTCATCTGGAGGAACGTAGTCTTCATCATCGCTGGTCAGACCAAGTTCATTTCCATAACACTGGTGAACAAAGTGCCACAGCTCTTTGGGACAAAGAGGCTGTAAAACAATGGGTGACATCCACACAGATGCATTACATTTCATTTATATACACAAATACACATTTTTATACAAACTTCTGAAACAAGGACAACACTCCGCCCCATTAATCTGAGATTACATTACAAATAAAATGCCGGCTGGAGTCACGTTGGGGTGGAGGGCAAGGCGGGAATGGGTAATCACTGGTCTGGAACTAACATTCCCGTCAATGCTCCTATTCTCTCTGAGGGTGCGTGCCTAAAAGCTGCACAGACTGAGAATTTAGGAAGGTCACGGGAATCGATCTGTAACCTCACGACTCCAAAATGGCTCTTAATGCCTTAGGTGCCGTGTTACTTCATCAGCTACAGACACACTGTTATACATACACCTTCAGTCTCCGTGCTTTTGAAAATTACCTTTTCAAGGAGTGCGTTCTGCCAGAGTCTGAACATCATCATGAAGGTTCTGTCCCGAGCTCCAAATGAAGTAAAAAAGTGCTACAAAAATTATAAAAGGTAAAAATCACTCGCTGCAATACAACGCAAAATTACACGTGTATAGCGCCTTTCACGTTTTCGGGAGGAGGTCCAACTGCACACAGTACGAAGGAGCTTTCGGGTATATGGAAGGGTCAGAGAAGAGAACACACTATCTACACTTGGACTACCTACGTTGCAGATTTGCAACAGGAATAAGAGATAACGAACTGCGGATGATTTAATAAGAGGAGAGAGATAGCACAGAAAATCGCTGCAGACCCACAGTGGCACAGACAATCCCGTTGCTGATTAAAATTTGGAACGATTTCAAAGCAAGTGAGAAGTATAACGCGACAGAATCCTACTGCTGGGTCGACTTATCACTGTCTTCGGAGCCCTGTGTCGAGACGTCAACTCACACAGTCCAAGCTGACACTTACACCCAGATCCCGTTTGCCTGTTCAGGTGGATGTTAAAGATCCCATGGCACGATTCAAAAAGAGAAGGGAGTTTCTCCCCAAATAAAATGTCTTCCCTTCATGCTGGGTTTGTGGGACATTGCTGTGCGCAAATGGGCTAACAAACAGGTAAAACTCGTGTGGAAATCCCGTGAAGCACTTTGCGACTTCATCTCTCTCTCTTTTCTGGAGATTCAAAGGGGATCTTACCTTTTCAGTGTCAGTGCAAATTTGTATGGCATTTGGAATGAGACGTGCTGTCTTCTCCTTTGTCATTGAAGAAACATCCTTTAGACGTACTGTGAGCTGCACAACCACAAGAAAAAGGTCAAAGATTCAGTTAGTTTGTTGGAACAGTCCCACCCGGTTAAGAAGGTCCAGTTTGCTGAAACCAGCTGAGGATTTGGTTTGATTGATTGAATGCAGATTTGAAAGGAGTGTTGCCACGAAACACCGACGTCCTGTTGAGGATTGAGATCGGATTGCACAGAATGTTGTCATTCCCCATAGAATTTTGTAACATTTGCCAATCAAGTCTTCCAAAATTACACGCCATAAATAAATAATATATCTGAAAATAAAACCAGCCTTTATGAGGAACAAATAGATAAACCTGTGTGGAATTCTACGGACCCACAGTCTATTCCTGCCTGAAATTGTTACGTAATGTAGATATCTGCAACCAAAAAAAAAAAACGTTTTCACTTATAAGAACATAAGAATTTGCTGGCGAAAGAAGACCAAGGTCCTTCTTCCACCATCCTGGCAGTCGCTTGACATTTCTTGTTCCAAACTCTACACTGTCTCCCGAGATATTATTTTCTTATATAGTGGCTTTCACGTAGGATGAATGTCACAAACACCGACCAGACATGAGAGGGAGCAGGGAGCTACGGGACAATTAAGGGTGTTGACAACATGCGCGGTCAAAGAGTTGTGATTTTCAGACAATTTAGAGGGCAACAACAACAACAACAACAACAAGATTCCATTTATAGAGCGCCTTTCACGTCAGGAGGACGTCCCAAGGCGCTGCACAGTTGGGTCATGACCCGAGCAGGGGGGAAATGGTCAGGGTGTGGGGATGGAAGGGAGGGAGAGAGGAGGGAGGAAATGGTCAGGGTGAGGGGAGTGAAGGGAGGGAGCGAGGAGGAGGAAGAGAGTCGAGAGGGGAGCTGAAGGCACGGTCAAAGAGAAAGGTCTTGAGACCGGCCTTGAAGGAGGAAAGGGAGGAAGCAAGGCGAAGGCACTGGGGGATGGAGTTCCAGAGCCTGGGGCTGAGAGGCTGAAGGCCCGACCACCGATGGTAGGGCGGTTGGGGCGGGGGACGTGGAGCAGACCGGAGCCAGAGGAACGGAGGGTACGGGCAGGTAGGTAGGGGGATAGTAGGTTGGAGAGGTAGGAGGAAGCAAGGCCGTGAATGGCCTTGTAGGTGAGGATGAGGATCTTGAAATCAATCCTCTGGGGGATGGGGAGCCAGTGGAGGCGAGCGAGGGTGGGAGTGATGTGATCGCGAAGCCTGGTGCGGGACAGTACACGAGCTGCAGAGTTCTGAATGACCTGCAGCTTGTGGAGGGAGGTGGCGGGAAGGCCGGCGAGGAGAGAGTTCCCATAGTCCAGCCTTGAGGTGACAAAGGCGTGAACCAGGGTTTCAGCGGCGTGAGGGGTGAGGTAGTGCCGTAGTCTGGCGATATTCCGGAGGTGATGGAAGGCGGTGCCAGTTGTGGTGCGGATGTGAGGGAGAAAGGACAGGGGAGAGGGGAGGGGAGGTAAAGCAAGGAGGTTTAGGAAGAGCGCTCCAGAGGTAGAGAGAGTACAGTGGCAGCTGAATGCTTGGTTGGATAGAGGGAGTGAGAAACAAGCAACCAGACCAGAACGAGGAGGCAAAGAGCACCTGGGATGGAAGAAATGCCAAAGTTAGTGACTTCAACCAGGGCAAATCTCGGTGCTGTGGACTAGATTGAAGGGAGGGAGTGTTGGGGAAGGAAAGAGCGAAGCCGGGAGGCAGTGACTTGTTCCAGCACTTTGGAGAGGAAAGTCAGAGAATGCGTCACTCGCCCTGAGAGCGTAGAAGGGTTGAGGGAGCTACTACTTGAAATGATTAGTAACAGTTCCAGAATGCTTACCAGTGTTTCCCATCTGAAGATGTTGCTATAGAAACAAATCCAGTTTTCCGAGAGGTAGAGTCGGCCTTGAAGAAGGATGTCCCTTTGCAGGGCACAGGAGTAATCTGGTTAAGGTCAAGTGACAACAGAGAACAACGGTTGAAGGACATTGCCACACACAATGTGTACACCAGTATCACAGTCCTGCCCAGCATGTTGTCATTATTATATCTCCGAACACACATGAACTATGAGCCTTTCCCTAAAACACTTGAGGGCGATGGCTCAAAGCCGTGACAGGGTTTACTGTACACTGCAGTGACTGTTTATTTTGTAATCGAAACGCAAGCGCTGTTGCAATTGCTCGTGTTTAGTCATAGAATGAACAATGTAGAATAAGTTCATGTTTTTTTTTAAAAGCTTTAGTTAACGGGTGGAAACAGATCACAACAGAAGTGCCAACTGAGCTCTTATCAAGTGCCGCATGTACCTAGTTTTAATAACTTATTAAGTATCTTGTTTTGATCTAAAACCTTTCTTTTCCCCCTCTCACATCGATCCGCAAGAGAGCACATGCTTCGAAAGGCAAGCCGAACGTGCTTCCTTACCAACAATGAGCCTCTCAGTGTCTGGCAACTGCTTAAACAGCTTTCTGAAGTCTTCGTTCCGCTGTTTGTAGGTTGGACTCAAAACCTGAATTAAAAAAAATAAGAAGAATATCGAACACAATTTTTTTCCCAAAACGGACAGGGATTATTTCAGCATTCAAAAATAATAAGTGACTCACTTGTAAAGCACATAGTTTAGCACAAGTCCCTGTACTATGGACTAAAAGCATAATATATTGATCTTCAATGCTGACGAGCCAGCTTCCTGAGCTAAAAACGTCAGCCTTCTCTGTTGTCAGGTCACCGATGGCATCATGTCCTGTGTATTCATTATACACATTGATGATCTAATTTCTGCCTGAGCTGAGCGCACAGACCACCGCTAATGGCACTTTGTAAACAGAGCGACCTTAGAGGCTTCACAGGGTGACAACAGCAGCGACCTGATAACTCAGAAGGTCCCGAAAACAATATACGAGACAAAACTTATTCAACCTGTTGGTTTGAGTATATGAACTCAAACCACTATATAATCTCGGAGTTGCCCGGCAATAAGCTTTGGGGGCAACATAAGTGAGGAGCAAATGTTTGTGGTTTCTTAATGAATATATTATTCATCACAAAGGACCGTATGGAAGTCACAATCACACAGTAGAGTAAAGCAAGAAAACAAAAAAGTCCCGTTAGGTACAGCACACTCAGAAAACTTCTGCTCTGAAATATTGTTTGTCCTGTTAGCCTTAGACAATTAAATTCCGATTAAAAACAATGTACGGGCCAAAACTCGACTTACGTAAATAGAATTACTAAACATCTAAGATGACAGTGGAGGCAGCCCTGACGATTTGAAAGTTAGTCATTGTTTTGCGCAAAACGTTAGCCAGTGTTTTGAAGTCAGCTGCCTGCGCCCGCTCTGGATTTGATCCTTTGCAAAGCAAATATGGTGGTCGATGCCGCAACGAAATAGAAGGTAAGCTAATTTGTGTTAGAATGAAGCAAGTTATAACAGGGTTCTGCTGTGCTATCGAGGGGGTAGCTTCTGGTCGAGAGATGCCTTCTTGCTAAGGCTAATGCTCCCCGAGAGGTGTTACGTGTAGAAATTGACATTTGCTGCGGAAACAAATAATAATAATAATATAATAATGATGATAAGATACTGTTTGGAAGACGTCCCTTTTCTAAAATAATAGCTCGACCACAAACTGCACGTTGGATTTTGCGAAGCAACAAACTAATTCGCAGATTCATAATGTCGCCATTTGAAATTCATAAATAAGTGATGGAGTCTCTGATTGGAGCACGTCTTAATTCAGCCTCCATAGACTACTGCAGTTCTACCACATCAACACAATAATACGTTTGTACCTTAAGGCCTTAATATCCTTTCAACATAATGAAACAGCAAAAACAACTGAGCTACAGCAAGGATCGAAAACGCAGTAGCTCTGACACCTGACCAATCATTGCACGATTATGATCGAAGAGTTTTTATTGTTTAAAGTGGGAAACATCAAGATGCTGTTGTTAGTCAGCATCCACGGTTCATTGAGCTGCTTCTGTTATAAGTTAAACACTCAACTTATTTTGACCAAATAGTCTTTTTTTGGTGCGAAAAATATAAAATTGTGGTGTGCCAATAATTTGCAGCGTGTTTTTGACATATTTGGATGGTATGCAACACTGTACGTCTAATATACAGCCACCCACCCCACCGTTAGATGAGACAACCGCAACTTACCCAATATATTTCATGAGTTTGCTTGAATTCTTAAAATCATTTAGAAAGATGGTTGGAGATATTGCAATACAGTGCCCTCAAGAGATACTGTGTAGGTTTGAATGCTGTACGTCGCCAGAACATAGCCTTGTATTCATCACTTGAAAACTGGTGAATATGTTCAACCCGTGAACAAACTCCAACCATCTTTTCCAATCAAAAGTTATCATTTTTCTTAATTTGTGAGCCTCCGTTCTGAAAGTTATTGTGATCTTTGAATTATCCTTTACTGCCGCAAACCAGGAACATTTTACTCCTAGCTTTTATTGTCCAGCTTCACGTCTATCTGATGGGGACGAGGGATTTTGATTTGACCAAATATTGTGCTCAACAAGATGAGAGACATTGACACCGGAAAACTGAGCAACTTCTCATGTCAAGTACACTAAGATCAAGCTTTTTCTGGTCAACTGGGTGTCTAACACGTGTGGAAAACTATCACCGTACTTAAGGCATCCAAAGCAGTCAGAGTTCCACCTATATATGCCATTTACACTTTTCCCTGGAATGGATTTCGTTTCGTTTTTTTGGTCAGCCAGGTGTCTTGACACGTGCGGAAACCCATCACCGTTGCTTAAGAGTCTCCAAACCAAACTGAGAATTCCATGCATCCTATCTACACATGAAAATCCAGAGATAGATTGCTGGAATGTAAAGTGCAATGGAGTGATGTATTAGACGCAAGAGCCAAGGCTTGGGGGGACCCCGGAGTGTGCATTGGGGTAACTGCAGGAGTCTAACCAGCTAAAACCACAGAGCTTGCCAATGTCTGGCCAAGGTTGACCAACCTTATCGGATTCTTTGAAGATACAAACGATAAAGTAGATGAGGGAAATGCAGCGCATCCGAAATATTAAAGGCCTTCTAGAAAAAGTGCCCACAGCGAGGCTCATAAAATAGGGGCATGTGGAACTGTGGGAGAGGTAGCAGAAAGAATGATTAGCAAACCAAAAGCAAATGACACGAGGTAAGGGTATCTTTCAGGCTGGCGAGAGGTACCAAGTGGTGTTCCACAGGGATACGACAGCTACTCACCAAAAATATAAATGACTTGGATTCGGGTATAGGAGGAATGGCGTCAACATTTGCAATGACAGTGAAAGGGACTGAAGAGAACAACATAAGACGACAAGCAGGCTGGCAGAATGGGCAGGCAAATGGGAAAAGAATAATGCACATCTCAAAACATAGCTATTTGACCACGCGTTCCGCCATCTTTGCCCTTTGGCTCCAAACCCCAGGATCGTCAAGGAATAGAGAATAATAATAATCCTTGTATTTGATATAGCACCTTATCGCGTCTTCAAAACATCTCAAAGCGCTTCTCAGAATACCCTGTAAAGTGCCGTGACTGTATATTTTGTGGGCGAAAGCAAAATTTTCCCAAGACTATTGGTATCATTGAAACCAAGATGGTCAGAAGAGTCTTGTGTGCAATAGCAGAGTTGACTACAACTAAGATTTAAGTATGAGTGGCCCAGAAGAGAGGTTTTGCTTTGGCACTTGTGGATTAAGAGTCCCAGCATCTGCTGCCACTGCAATATGTCAGCAACATATGTGACAGTTTTAGTCAAGTTCTCAACTTGGCCGTTAAGTGGGACGGTGAAAAGACTGACATCGTCCAACTCACCCCACAGCAAGCGCATGTCCTATCAACTGAACATGAGGCACCATCAGCGATAGTCGTCATAGAGAAGTCTGCAGCCCCGACCGGCCTGCCCTCCCGGCTGAAGGAGGATGCATTGGGGTGAGTGGACTTGGGAGGGTGAAGGGGAGGGAAAGGGTAGGAAAGGAAAGGAAGAAAATAGAGGGCAAAAAGATACATTTCAATTGAATTATTACGACTGATCCATATATAAAAAAAGTGCAGAAGTTAAGAGAGTTGAACAATTTCAAGAGTGAGATTTACCATTAATTAAGTTTTTTTTTTAAAAAATCTAACTTTTTTTAATATTGTGTTTCTTTCAGTCTGATTCTTTCATTGTATCTGAATTTTTTTTCGTTCAGACTGTAAATACTGGCAACAACATTGTGGGGACTGAATTTAATAGTGAGAGAAAGTGGAGTTTCTATCAATTCAGTCATTAAACAGGGATGAGTTGCCAATCTTCCGATTTCAAGTGTCTATTTTCTCAGAGCGATGATCAGGTGAATATCTGTTCCGCTCCAATGTTTGAAAACTTATAGTTCACTGATAGTTCCCACATGTGGACATGGAAAACAAATGCCTCCAAGTGACTGAAGAATACATTCAATGCTAATAATCCACCTCTACCTATGTTTATGATGGGGAGATGATACTTAATATATCAGAATTTACTTTTATGTAGAAATAAACCAACCCAACTGAAAAATGCCAGTAAATGCCGGGACCGGCCTTGTAATGCTTTGAATCCCGCGAGCAGAAGTTAGTGAATAAGCTGAAGTCGCTGGGAACGCTCAGCAGGTCAGGCAGCAACGATGGAGAGCGGAAAGTGAGTTAACGAAAGGTCATCGACCTGAAACGTTAACTAACTGACCTCTCTCCATAGATGCTGCCTGCCCTGCCGAGTGTTCCCAGCGACTTCCGATTTTATTCATCATAAATAATAATAAGTTTTTTTTTAATTGTTTTGGTTTGGGGCCTGACCCAGCAAGGTCCGAATACCAGATACCCAGAGCCTTGCAAAACGGGGGGTTATTACTTCAATAATCTTCAATGTCCCGGAAGTCAATAATCTTCGAATCAACAGAATGTCAGTATCAAGCCAACCCTCTGCGGCAGTTTCTGACAAGCAGCAGAAAAGCTCGCCCGGCAGTGCTCTCAATGGGGTTGTTTCTTAGCTGGTTAGACGCCAGCAGTACCCCAACACACACTCTCGGGGTCCCCAAGCCTCGGTTCTTGCCAACCTGCGCCTCACCTTTCCTTGAATTAGGTCGGCGGGACATGGTCCCTCTCGAGACAGTGCGGGCATTCCATTCCGACAAACATCTCTGGGATTTCCATGTGTGGGTGAGATGCACGGCACTCGGTCCGGTTTGGATATTCTTGAGCACGGTGATGGGTTTCCGTGTGCATCAGGCACCCGGCTGCCACCACCCAGAAAAGATAGTAGTGCAGGTGGTGAGCTGCACTGTTGGCCCTGTCTGCCTGTTCAAGTGGATGTTAAAGATCCCACGGCACTATCCCCCCAAAATAGGCGGCTTCTCCTGTTGTCCTGGACAATAATCTCTCAAATAGAAATTGGTCATTCACTTCACGGCTGTTTGTCGTCCATTGCTGTGTGCAAATTGGCTGCCGTATTCACCTACAAGATGTGCAGTCACATTACTTTACAGTACATCTTTTGAAAGGCTTTGAGACATCCTCCCCACTTTGAAAGGCACTGAATCAACTTAGAAGTATTTTATTTGCTGTTTAACCCAAATTAAAAGGTGCCCCCATTCCACACAGCACTGGAATGATTGGCAAATAAATTAAATCTACTGCCCTTTACGTCCCTTTGACAACTGAACTAAGATCAAATGCAAGCACTCACAGACGCCTCTTGTGTTAACATCACCTCCCACTCTCTTCGCTCAGCGAAATGGGCTTCAGGTTCCCCCTCACTCTTCACCCCACGATCGGCAAGCAGGCATTCAGCCAATCTGCCCTCGCTCTCTGGGACTCCACCACTGGAGCCCCTCCAACTTGCTGTCTCCCTCACTTTGTTTAAGGTGTGTTTCAAGGCCATATCCACCTACAAAATTCACCTCTTTAATTGCACTGTTAGTGATCCTTCTCCTACCCAATTCCTTTGGCTTCCCCTCCAGCTTGGCTGCCAAGCCAGCAGTGATAAGCACTTTGAGACGCCTTTCTTGTGAAAAGTCCTATATAAATGCAAGTTAGATTTCATCTCCATATTTGTTTTTAATCAGGCAATATTAACGGCGATTTTGTTTCCTGGAATAAATTAACGGATTCAACTTCTATAAATTAATACATTTCTAAACAGAATTCAATTAATGCCCACAATCTTGTTTCGTATAACATGACGTATTAGAAAAGCTGAAGTCGGACACTTGTCCCAATTACAAATCTATTAAATATAAGACAGCATTTAACTCACTGCTGGGATTTCTTCTGTATCCACATTCAGGTCAATCCAGGTCTCAACATCTTGCAGATACTGCATGTTCAGCAAATATCCAGCCTCAGACACCTGATCAGAATGATACTCAATCTCTCGTTCAGAATACAACTTACTCCTTTTCCAACACTGGGCTAATGACTCTCGTAAATCTGGTCTAAAACTTGCACCGGGTGGTTAACACTGACTGCTCTCCTCACTTTTAGACGAGTTGCTTACTATTCTCCAGTTTGAAAAGCTATAAAATTTGATTAGCTCGACACCCACGTGAAACAAATTAAGCATCCAACTGTCTCGATTCTGTGGGTCCCCCACAATCTGACAGTAACCTCAACTCTCTTAAATACAGATGTTGCCTCAAAGCAGAAGGAGAAACACATGTGTTCCAAGAAGCTAAACCACCAAGCTCAAGGAACGAAAATTCACAGCAGCTGACAAGCGGCTCCCTCCGCAAACATTTGACCACCCTCGGTCTTTAGCAATATTAAAATTGGCTTGGATTCTCTCACAATTAAACATTGCGCAAACAGTAAACCCTGGGACGTATCGGTACGTAAACAGAACCTCCCTTTGTTCACAAAGAGCTGGCTGGACAGACAGTATCTCAGATAAACTCAACCAACCCCTTGTGGAAAAACAGTAGATGTAAAGCTTTTCCCCCACAGAAAACTTTTCTTGGAGGAGGACACAAGGCACCACAAAACAGTCAATGGGAGGTTGGACTCTCAGATGAAATGAGAAACAAATGTGATATTTATTGCCGGGAAGAAGATGCACTAATTTCATCTGGTGAATGAACTCTAGGTTTCACTGTGCTGTAATCCTGATAAAATGCAGAGCACACCACACTGACAGATGGGAAATCTGTGCGAAACTTTACCAGCAATATAGATAGAGGGCTTTTATCTTCCCTTGGAGCACTTTAACACCAACCATCATCCACCCATCCTCATCCATCATCCACCAGTCAACAATAATTGGGACACTATATCGGTAGAAGAGGACTTTTTGGGAGGGACGGTTTGTACTATTTAAAGAGAATAGAGTTTACTCTAGTTTCCAGCCAACAATCCCCCAAATAAAATTTGTGGCTCATTCCATTGATGCGGGCCAACTGGCTGTGCATTCACCCACAAAATACACAGTGACACCACTTTACAGTATATTCTGTGAAGCTCTTCGAGACACCTCGACATGTGATCAGGTGCTAAATCAAATGTAAGGATTATTACTAATTTAAGATACTTAAATTAATCATCATTACTTAAGCCATCGTGTCAATAATTCAGCTCACCAGAAATAATAATAATAATAATAAGTCTGACGAAAGGTCATCGACCTTAAATGTTAACTCTCTCCATAGACGCTGCCTTTCCTGACACCATTGTTCCCAGTGACTTGTTTTTATTTATTTATCATAATAATAATGATGTACAACATTTCTGTACAACATCTCTGGTGTTTGGAGCTCAGACCAAGTTCACCAATGGCCGTTAACCAAGAGATCGGAACAGTTGGGGGGGGGGGGGGGAAAAATATATTTTCTCTGGCACGTACAAATTAATAAATGATTGCAATTCAACTGGTTGCCTGGGGAGCCCGGATTCCTGGTAGAGCCTCAGTTTCAAAGAATGTACTCTAGCGGCTGCATCTGGTACCATTTAGTAACCTATTGAAACTACCGATGTACACAGCAGGCATTCCAATACAAACATCCTGGAACGTTACAGGGTTGAATATGCAGCTCCGTTCCCTGAATGATTCCAAAAAAAAAGATTTCTCTAAATATTAATCGCTTTATTTCTATCATTTCATTGCATCACGATCAACTCAATTGAGGCATTAAAGAACCTCTAGGTTCCAATGTTCAGCCTGGTCTTTCCAAAGTACTTTTCGGTCAATCGGGCCATTGGCACGAGCAGAGAGAGAGAGAAAAAGAAAATCGTCGTGCAAACACTGAGGGAGTTCCATGTACAAGTTTCCTTTGGCTGGTATGGAGTGTGCAATCTCTGCTTTCCTAATCTCGGAGAGTTAGCAGAAGGTTGGCAAATGTGAAGGGGTAGTGTGGTCTGTAGCAAGTGTAACTGGAGTGTGTGGAGGGGGTGGGGGTAGAACTCAGAAGGAGAAATAAAAGGAAATCTGATTGCAGAGGCTTGGATTCACTGTATTAGATTCTCTGTCAATGTACAAGTAACTCGGGTGGATAGCCAGAGGCGCCTGCAGCAATGTCTAGGGTTTTGTTCAGCTGTTCAGAATTTAGAACTGAAATCACTGTGCAGTCATTGCCATGGAAACTCATCACCACAGAGCACAAAACACCATTGCTTGGTGGGTGAAGTCTAGAGATTTAACCCAGTTGTCCTATAATCTAGCAAGACCACATAAACCGAATAGTGTATGCACTGTATAATATTTCAAAAAGCTGACTTTCTACGTAAGAAATGTTTGGTGAACGCAGTTGTTTGGCAAGTACACGAGGAGTACCAACAAATGTTTACAAACCACTGGCGTTAAAATCCCTTTCTTCCAAGCGATCTGGATTGCTAATGGCTGTGCAGGACATTGCGCGAGGCAAGTCGGCAGAGATGGAACAGGCAGGGGTGAGGTGGGAAAGGGAGGTGAATGCTGAAAAGATTGGGGAAGGGAAAAAGAAAGGTTTTGAGCCAGGGCAGAAAACATGGTATGGGTATGCGCTGCTCAAGAGTGGACCTTGAAGATATTGATTGGGAATATACAAGGGGGACCCTCATCTCAACTGCCATTGTTGAAGCGCGATGAGAATGACCGGAGTTCCCTTGGTCCCTGTTTACCATGGTCCTGAAGGACAGTGCTCAAGGAAATCTTGTCCACGACAACCTCCAGATACCAATATGAAACACCTGGGACAGACGTCTTTGCACCTTCCAGGTAATGCCTTCTTGAGCTGCATCTTACCAATGCGTGGAAGCCCAGCATCAAGGGCCACTCAGTAACCAGGTATTCGAGATGGCGAGTGCAGTGCCCAAGTTCCCTAGGTCAGTCTGCCAACAATATTATCTGCCAATAGCAGAGCTGCAACTCTGTCAGACACGGACACACCAAATCCATCCCTCTCGGTGTAAACTAATCAGTTATTGAATATGTTGGACCTCGAACATTCCACATAAATATTACAAAGCCATAACCTGTCCCCCCACGCTCATGATAATGGAATTCAGCCTGTTCCTTCCTCGTGAAACAGTGGACTTCCAATGCATCCAATATACACGTGCCTTAATTATCTGAAATACCAACTTAAGAGCTCCTGAAATCAGTCAGATTCCTCCATAATTCTCAGTCTCACATTGGTACCCTTCTTCTGTATCAATATTACAATTGCGTTTTTGGACGCTGATGGTGTGTGTCTGGATAAAGTACTCCTGACATGTTAACTCTACCTGAATGACGCCGTATAAATCTAAGTTGTTCTTCAACTGGGAAAGAACAAGTGAGATTGATGGAAAGTGTTGCAGAGAGAAAGAAAAAAAAAACCGACAAACACAAGAGGGAGACAGAGTGACACAAAAAATTAAGTAACACTCACAGAAAACAAATCCGCAGGGACAGTCGATAGAGGGACAGGGACAGGAAGTGTGGGACAGGAATCACAGACACAAACAGACTCATTCACAAATTATACTTACACTAGCTACCAAAGACTCGCTCCTACAGACCTGCGTTCCCGGGAAAGCCTTCTCTCTATTGTCTGTACTGAGCTGAGCCACTTGACTAGTATTAGTGTACATTTTTTAAAAAAAAAATTGCTAGACATTGAGAACGGAGAAGAATAACTCCCAACGGTCTTGAGCAAGGTTTCAATTTTACTGAGGTAACAACATGCATTGCAAAAACATAACATGTGGCAGAAAGTGACTGATGGCTGGGTGCGAGAGAAGACAAAGCTAGAGCATTAAAACAAATTATAAACCATCGGAGCTTTACTCTTGTGGTTCATGTGATCTGAACCCTATAATTAAACTAGGTCTTAATTCGATACCGAACATGTAGAATGCCATAAGTTGAAATACTTCCAAAACATGCAGCATTTAATGTTTAAGGGGATCACAAACGACTTGAAACCCACTATTCTAGGTTTACGGTAACATTCTGGCTTTCAATACTACTACTCAGAAGCACATAATCTTAACATAATGTGATTATAAAAGAGGTGATGCTTACTCTCATGATGTGCTGCCTTTCGTGCTAATGGAAGGAGAGTTAGGGGAGAAAAGAGAAAGGAGACATAAGATAGATACGATTCAACAACACGGCTGAACTTTTTTTTTCCAAAAATGAAGAAAGATAAAATGAAAAGCAAACACAACCACATGAAGTTGATCGGACACACATTCTTGCCAGTGCAGACCCCTTGCTGGGTGAGAGAGAGAGACCACCTCACTTGCTGGCGGGTGGAGAAAACAACACGGAAATCAGAATTTGTGATCGTTTAATGTCAGTATTGTAAAATATAGTCGCTTAATCTAAAGTGAACTCTTTTGCAGTGAAGCAGAGGTTGGAAACCTAGACTCTTTTAAAGGGGCCGAGAGTGTGGTCAAAGAGGTCTTGGGCGCCTTGAAGGGGTGAGTTGGGAGTGAAATTCCGGCTGCTAGTAGTGGGGAGGGCAGAAAACAGCCTGTTGCCTGCTGAGCAGAGGGAGAGAACGGGTTTGAAAGGTTTGAGGAGATCTCAGAGGTAAGGGGAGGGTAGGGCAAGTCTGCAAAGGGGTTTAAAGGTTAGGACGAGGAACTTGAACTCCAATCTGATGGGGGAACGGGAAGCCAGGTGAGGATGAGGGTGATAGGTTTGCTGAGTCCAGTGCGGGAAAGGACACGACCTGCGAGTTCTGGATCTTGTGACGGGAAGAGGCTGGTAATCTGGCAAGCAGAGAGTCCGTGGAGTAATCTAGGCTGAAGGTAATGAATGCACGGATGAGGGTCACTGTGGCCCGAGAGGAGAAGCAGTGGCACAGGCGGGCAATGTTATAGAGGTGGAGGAAAGCGGAGCCAGTCAAGACAGTTGAGAATGAAACAGGATTCAGGTTCTGCACAGGTGGAGTGTGCATCCAAGTAGTTTGAGGTTCTCACCACAGGCGCTGACAGCAACAACCACCACCACCAACAAATTGCATTTACATAGACCTTCCAAGTTCCAAGGCATTGGACAGTTGAGAGTTTTGATTCAGCAGAGGAGGGTGCCAAGGCGTGTGGGGGGGGGAGATGGAGAAAAGACGGCCAAAGGAACAGTCAAAGAGGAAGGTCTTGAGATAGATTTTGAAGGAAGCCAAGGGAAAAGGCCCTGACGGGAGCCAAGCAGGACAGCCTCTATCTTGTCGGTGTTCAGTTGAAGAAAGTTAAGAGTTATCCAGGACTTGATGTCCAACAACAACAACAACAACAACAAAACTACATTTGTATAGCGCCTTTCTCGTCGGGAGGACGTCCCAAGGCGCTGGACAATCAGTGTTTCGGACCCTAGGTCATTGGTCAGAATTGCAGGGGTGGGGAATCTGATATACGAGTTGAATGTCAACCACAAGTTAGCCACATGCCTGCAGATGACTTCACCTCGCAGGAGCATGTAGGAGAGGCAGTGGAGAAGGATAGCGTGATTGACAGTGAGATGAAGAAGAAGAAGAAGAATGAGGAGGTAGTGAACGCCATGGCCACAGATAGAGAATATTGTTGGTAACTTCCACGAGGGCAGTCATGGTACTGTGGGTAAGGAAGAAATCAGATTGGAAGTGTTCATGCAGGGAAAGGAGAGAGCAAAACTGGAAAGCTACCACTCGTTCTAAGACCTTGGACAGAAAAGGCAGGTTCGAGATGGGATGATAGTTAGGAGAATAAGGATGGGTCAACACAAGGTTTTTTAGGAATGGGGTAATGACTCTCGAGAGTTAGGTAAGAATGAAGCACCTGTGCATGTGGACAAAGAAAGGTTGAGGATGTCCCTGAACAGGGGGAGTTCGGAGGTCAGGAAAGGGCTGGGATGGCGAAATGAAGAGTTTTCAAAATTCATGCTGAAATACTGTATCTAGAGTTCTCATCACAAGAATCCATCCCAGTCCTAGTTATCTGCAGTTTGCATCAAACAAACTGATTTGCATCGCGTCAGCATAATAAGCCATTAATCCTGGCCCAATAAACAACATTTATCAGCCATTTCACCTTTCACATACTTCAATGCTAACGCTGTTTAACCTTTTTTCATTTTCCCTTTTCCCAATCTTTGTCAAGTGTTTTAACCTCGAGTTCTTTGGTTAACATTTCCATCATATAATATTTTCTTTGGACACAGAGTTAGAGTACTGTGTTTTTACCCCCAACACCTGGGTTTCAACAAAGTTCAGACTGACTCTCTCTCTCACGCGCGCTCTCTCCTGTCTTGCTAACAGAGCAGAGATCCACTTGAAATAAAGCTTTGCCGAGACGCAGTCATGTGTGACCAATACAGGTGCATACACTGTCAGCATAATGTCAGCTATCATTGCTCTCACTCCATTTCTCCTTCCTTTCTCCCTCCTGCAAGACACGACCCTCCTCTTCGACCGCATCTTTGGGCACCTTCCCCTTCCCCACCCAGATGGGGTCCAAATTTTCATCAAAATAAAGGTTCTAACAGCCAGGAAACATACATAAAACAAACTATAGTAAAACTCGATCTTTATAGTAATAATAATAAAAATCCTTGCAGTTGATATAGCGCCTAATCACGTTGAGACGTCTCCAAAAAGCGCTTCACACAATGTATTGTAAATTGACAATATTTTGTGAATGAAACGCGGCAGCCAATTGCACACAGCAGTGTCCCACAAACAGTTGTGCATTGAGTGACCAAAGTATTAGTATTATTTTTTTTAAAAATTTGGAGGGATTATGACCCCCAGTAAAAGCGATCCCCCAATCGACTAAAAACCGGGTTCCTATTTACTGCCCAGTAAACAGAGGCGCGTGGAGTAAGGAAACTTGCCCAATGTTTCGCCCTGCCGGGAATCAAACCCAGGTCCTCTCGCTTGCGAGGCGAGTTTAACCAAAGCGCTACAGGACTGCATGTATAAATCGTATAATCACCTAAATCGGATATTCAACTGAGTTCCATTCACTTTCCTCTCAAATCAACTTAGATTTTTCAGCTCCTAACCCCTAACTCTGCTCCCCTACCCTCCATTACTCCCGCACTTACCGGCTGCATTGAATCGCGGGAAACGTTGTCTTAATCCGTCGACCCATGAGCAGAAGGACTTCATTTCCCGCAACTCAATGCGATTCCAACGCTTGCCAGTAAGTGGGCACACGAATTGCATGCAGCGATGGGTCAAGACGCAATGAATCGCAGGAGATGTAGTCTTGACCAGTTCCCACACTCACACTTACCAAGGACAGTCAACTTGAATATGCAAAGACAGATTGTGTTTGACCAATTATACAGTCTTTGAGCTAAGATAGAATAATGATAATCCTTACAATGTGATACAGCATCTTTCCCTTCACCAGGGCGTACACTCGGACGAATTCAATTACAAGCCAAGTTGGAATTCAAAAAATATTGGTTCGGTCACAATTATAATTAATAATAGTCCTTGCATTTGATATAGCGTCTCATCACATAGTCTCATCCCTCCGCTCACGGGCTCCAGCCTGCTTCATGTCTCCCGCCACACCCGCCCCACAATTGGCGGGGGGGGGACCTTCAACCACTCTGCTCCCAACCTCTGGAACTCCATCCCGCAGACCCTCCGCCTCGCCCCCTCCCTTGCCTCCGTAAAGACCCGTCTCAAGACCCTCCTCTACGATCGTGCCTTCGGTCAACCTCCTTTCCCCCCGCCTCCCCACCCTCCCCGATCCTCAGCTCAGGTCCAAAACAAGGATTGTCCAGCGCCTCAGGACGTCCTCCTGACGTGAAAGGCGCTGTGCAAACATAATTTTGCTGCTGTTGTAGTCGAAACCACTCAAAAGGTGCTTCACAAGATTTACTGCACAAGACAGATCGACTTGATTCAATGCCTCATCTGAACCCTGACACCTCAACACAACGCAGCACATCCCTCGGACCTCAATTGAGTATCCGCCTAGATGGCGGGTTCTGCACTGCCTCAAGAGCTCAGGTGTTTCCATTATGTCAGGCTGACCAGAGCTGTCTGCAGCGCTCTTGGAGCTGTCTGACCGCAGCAGTATTGTAGCTCGAGTCTGACTTCTGAGGATCTGAACTCAACTATTCTGACCTGGTACGTTGGGGTGAAATTAATTGAAAGAGTGCGTGAACTTTTACAGGACTAAGACAGAGCAACGCAAAAGCAGATTGCTGGAATGCTCTCCCTACAGCCTCGAGCAAACCAAAGCCTAACGTGATGATTTCAGGCCGCAAATGACAAACGTAGCATTCAGAGTGAGACTGAGCGATTTATAGCAACAAACACCAATACCACTAATGCCACCGACAACTTGGATTATATAGCGCCCTTCACGTGGGTAGTCTCTCGGAGTGCTTAGCACTGGCAGAGCTCGCCACCCAAGCCTGGGAGAGAGGGGGAGGTGACTGGAGGCAATGTCGATGAGGAAGGTATTCAGGTGATCTGAAGATGGACAAGGTGGAGGGATTGAAGCAGAGAGTTCCAGAGTTCGGGTTGTCGTGGCTGAAACGGCTGCCGATGACGTAGCGGAGGGGGATGAAGGACATGTAGAGGGCTGGAGCCAGCTGAGGGAAGTGGGCTGGAGGTGGAGCAGGGTGTAAGCAGGTCATGCAGGCAAAGATGTAAGGAGGTGCTCAAGTGGGATTTGAAGGTAAGTGTGAGGATCTTGAAATTGATCTGTTAGGGAGCCAGCGGAGTCTGCAAGGACTGGGGTGATGGGAGTGCGGAGTTTGGTATGGGTGAGAATATGAATGGCGGAGTTTTTAATCAGTTGCATTTTATGGGTGGTGGAGCTGGGAAGACATTGGAAAATATCGAGGCAGGTGGTAAGAAATGTGTGAATAAGGGTTTCAGCAGTGTTGGATTGGAAGAGTAAGGTCTGGATCGAACCCCACACCTAGATTGGGCGCAGGTTGAGTGAGTCTCAGGGATAGGCTGGAGAGATTAAGAAAGTTGGAGCCACATTGATGGGAGGGACCCGAGGAAGATGGCTTCCATCTTGTCAACATTCAGCTGCAGAAAGTTGTGATGGTGGTGGATCAAAAACATTGTAATCGCTACGCTTTTTCCTGTCGTGATATAACCACATCAAGATCAGTCATGTTTACTACAAGAACAACAGCAAGCAGCGACTACCATCACCACCGAGCATTTATACAGCACCCTTCATGTAGGATAATATCTCGGAGCACTTGATAAAGTTTGGGATGGTGTGGGAAGGGAGATGGTCAAGGAGGAAAGAGCGAAGGGGCAAAAGAGAGACAGACCATAGGCGCTATCGATGAGGTAGATTTTAAGGCGGATTTTAAACGAAGATGGCAGAAGAGATGAGACGGAAGGATAGAGGAAGTAAGTTCGGAAATTAGTGGCAAACTATCTCAAGGCTTGGCCATTGATAACAATGTGGATTGGGTGAGTGGTAAGCCCATGTTATCTGAGCAGAGATGGCAAACAGAGGAGTGGGGAACGAGGAGATCAGAAAGATAGGCAGGTGCTGGGTGTGAAGGGATTTATAGACGAAGGCAAGCACCTTGAAATTGCTGGGAAATAAAGGAAATTAACTTGGCCTTAGGTGATGAGGGTATGGAGTTTGGTGTGGGTATGTGCAGTTACTGCTCTAATTAGTACTCAAACTATACAACAAGCTCTCATTTCCCAGCAAGACTTCCTGTAAGGAGATAAAGTTTTCATCAGAATTAATTCGGAAGGTGCATGCCTCGATATAATGGGAAAAATTTCTGTACAAAGAAATCTCGTGTCCGAGATTGGTCTTCAGTTGATCCCAGGAAACAAATTCCAGGATTTCAATGCATTTGATGCAAATTATCCACTCATTATAAACACAGTCAATTAGACCCAAACACATGAGATAATTATGAGAAAATGTGACCAAAATAATTGCCAATTGAATCACGTTTGTTCTGATGGATGAGTAACACAAAGAGAGTAAGTAGAGATGTTAAACAGGACACTTACGTTGTACCAGCTCTGGCTTTTCTGTAAAACAACAAAATGGAAAAATAATGTAAGTATTAAGAATCACAAGCAAGGTACCGAAGGAGACACAGTAATCAACAGAGCAATTCACATACATATCTGTTTGGCAGAAACTCAAGTGTCACAAACAAGATTTAAGTTCGGTCTATTGACCTTAGTAACATGCTGGTGCACAAATCATATGTATCCAGGGTGCAAGGTGGGTTTTATTTACTAAATCGAATACCAATCTACTGTATAATGTCCAACATGGTACAAACTAACATGATTTGCACGCTAAGATGTGTATAAAATGGGACTCAGTAGATGTGTCATTTTCAATATCATCCAAGCTTATGACAATTGACGATTGCCAATGATTATTCCCCCCTCAACCCAAGTCGCTTTTTCCCCCCGCATTATCTTAACATGGTTACCTAGCATGATGTTGCACGGAAACAGGCCAACTCCCTTGTGCTGGTGTTGCACAAGTTCCCACTCCTTCTGTTCACCTCTATTTCCTTTACCCTCAGGTATGGAGTAAATTCTCCTGAGAATAAATTGATGTTTCCAGCAGTGACTTCCACATTCAACACCACCCTCCCCATAAAGAAGTTTCTCCTATTAGAGACAATGGCAGTAAACTTATAATGATGCCCTTTAGCTGTGAGTAAGTGGAAACATCCCATTTACATCCACTCTATCAAATCCTTTCACAATCTTAGAAAAACTTCTTTCAGGTCCACCCTCAATCATCTCGACTCTAAGAGAGAAAAAGCTGCAACTTGTCCAAACTTTCTTGAAAGCTGTATCCACTCAACCTTGGTAACATCCTTGTAATTCTACACTGTTCTCCCTCTAAAACTGTAAGTTTCTTGTAACGTGACAACCAGAACTGTACACAGTACTCGAAATGTCGTTCTGACCCAAAACATTGATCCACTTTCCTTTCTCCACAGACGCTGCCTGACCTGCTGAGTGCTCCCAGCGACTTCTGTTTCTGGTTCAGAATTCCAGCATCTGCAGTATTTGGGGTTTTATGAAGGGATTTTATTGGGTTAGCCAGTATGGGTATCCTTGATGCTGGCACAAGAGAAGTGTAATCAGAGTGGAAGCTGGTTAAGTCGGACACGGCTGCTTTGTCCGGCTTAAGCGGCGTCCGAGGATAACAGAAGTTTCATTACCTCTTCCCGCCCAGCCAAGGACGTACAGAGGTGCTGGGGCACAAAGGATATGCAAGGATGCCGATCTGAGATTTTTAATAACAGAAGATTCTGTAATATTTGCTGTCGTCCAGTTATACAAAATGTGAGGACAGTAGAATCCCTCGAGGGAATTAACAACCCCATTGGTTACAGTAAGGCAGGAGAACGATGCTTTGACTATACTTTTCTGAGTATGTCTACTTAATTTGCAAAGACAAAAAGTTAGGTGGAGTCTGTCTGTCTGGAGGTAATCTAAGATCCCTATTCTCTACCAGGCATTAGTGTAAAGTGCAGTAAATCCCTTTCTATTCAAGGCACATATCCACATAATATAATTCCCTTGAACAAACCGTAAATGGCATTTAAACTTGAGTGAAGTTTACAATACTGTGAGGGAACAAGCTGGTAATATCATATAACGTGAGCTAGGATTGAAAACTTTAATGTAGCCTGAAGATGGCACCCTTCCCTTAAAATCTGTAACTACCTGGATAATAAGATCACAAGATTGGTTTGCATGAAGAAGGCCCAGAGGCCCATCTGATCTCATCCCTCCAGAACCCCCACGCATCCTACTGTTCCCCACCAACGCACTTTAAATGAGTCCAGTGTCCTGGCCTCCTACCACCTTTCCTGGCAACCTGTTTCAGTTGTTGATTACTATTTGCCCGTATTAACTTCGGGAAGCCATACAAAGTAGTATATCTAGGCTTTCAAAAGACGTTTGACAAAGTATTTCATGAAGGAGTCCTTCACACACTGGGTGACAAGGGCAAGACATTGACATTGAATCAGAATTGGTTGAAGGGTAGGCAGCAAAGTGTCTTTGGGAGGGGAACAATGTCAGAATGGAGAGAGGTATTAAGCAGAGGGCCTTGGGGTATCCCCTCCTATTCCTCGTATGAACCAATGACCTGGGATTCACAGACTCAGTGTAAAATAGTTATATTTGCAGAGGACATGAAGGTCGGAGAATGCTTGGAATCAGGAGGCAGTAAAGGTGCTACAAAGACAACTGGACAGAGTCTGCACATGGGCTGATAACTGGCAAATGAAGTTTAAAACTTTATAAACAAAAGTTGCTACAACAACAACAACTTGCGGCTTGTGAAGGGTGTCAATGTGGCTCATGGTCGCTTCAGCGGAAAGCATGTGCCTCGGGAAAACACCTGCTGACAATTTCCTTACAGAGAGACCTGTGAACGGCTATTTAAGCTCGTTACGTGTACGCAGTAAAGAAAAAAAATCAGATCGGGCTCAGTATAAATCTGGGTTCGACAACTCTGCTCTCTCTAGTGGATCAACTATTTCCTGAATAGTGTCTGGCTCACCGACCATAAAACAAGAAGGGAACAGCGGTTTGTGGGCTTGTTGACACACTGAGTCAGGAATCAGTCATTCACGACATTTAAAAGCTCAGTCTTTTGCACAGGGACATTCCCAGTTGAAGTCCCCCCATCGTACAATCTAATTTTTCTCACACACACTCCGCCGCAATACGGTGCCGAGTCGAATAATAATCCTTGCATTCTATATCATATTATAGCGCCCTAGAGCGTCTCAAAGCGCTTCACCAAGTTTCAGTAAAGTGGAGGGACCCAGCAGCCAAATTGCACATCCTCCATCCGTATCCCACAACAGCTCCCGGAAAGTGAATGACCAATTTTATCTGGACATCAGGAGAAACTCCTTCACTTTTTCCAATAGTACCATGAGATCTTAAAAAGGCACGTGGCATTTCAGTTAAACATTTCATTCTGATGATGATGTGCTTTTCCCCCAGCGCTGCGTTCAAATTTGAGTTCACAATCGTGGAGCTTGAATCCATTAGCTTCTGACCCAAAGTGGACTATGTTAACACTTTTTTTTCCTGATGTACATCATGCATGGCCACAGCCGCAGAATCAATTGCGACAATTAAATATGTGGGAAAGATGGAGAGATGGAATGGTTGGAAATATAGAAATCTAGCTGGACAAACAGGAGGAAAGCTTTCATTGGCAGGCTTGTTGCTTCAGCAGGTTAAACTCCGGCAGCAATCTACACACTCTGGGATCCATAAGCCTTGGCTCTTGCCAAACCGTAGCTAATACGCTCCAGAATTAGGTGGGGAGGGAGTAGGAGGTAGGGAGGGAGGCGAAACAGGGTCAAATGCAGTTTTCCCGATGACACGTTTAAACACTGAATTCTAATGAGACAAGTTGGATTCCGAGGATTCCAGCTCGTCTCATTCAGGAACGCTCATTAAATTGGTCTGGACGTTCATCTTGGGGAAGTTAATCACTAAACCACCCCAGGTTAATTATATAATCGTCACCCCCCCCCACCCCCACCCCTTCCACCATGTAATGCAGGAAGTCACTGCAAGAAGTCAATTTCCCCCAAAGAGATCAAAACATCCACTGTTTAGCCAGTAGGGCCAATGTCCTGCTCCATTACCATTTTTCTCCATTTCCACATAACTGATCTCTAGCCCCCAACGATACTTATTTTAGAATATAAAGTAAGAGTCACACGGACAATGGATTATCTGTCTCCTTCTTCTAACTCTTTTGCACAGTGGGTCTTATAAGATTGGACGGTCAAGTGGCTTAGGATACTTCCTAAGGGATACTCAGGGATCCGGCCTTCTGCCCAAACTGGTGAAGAAAGTCTGTTTAGTCGGACTTAAAAATGAGTAATGAGTAACTGTAATGACATTAGGCTTGAGGAAGTTGTTGAGCCTGGCAGCATAAAGACGCTGAATTATCGTAGATACAGTAAATAGAAGAGCGTATGTAAGCAGTTTTCAGTTCAAGTAAAATCAACATTAAGGGGAAAATTTGACATGAAAAGCAAAGCATCATAACCACATTCATAGCTCTTTGCCCTAATTGTTTTGGGAAGAGATGCTGCTAATATACGATTAATGTTTACATTAAGACTACATTCTACGTGGCTCTATTCATTCTACACTGATTCAGTGGTACAAAGAACACAGAAATATGTCATCATAAATGATCCCCCTCCACACCCCCAAAAAAACAGGGAATGTTTTTTTTAAAGCATGTGAATATGGACCATTTATTTAGGCTGTGCCACTGCTCAAACCTTTTGGGGGTTGGGGGAGGGTTTAAGAATCAGATTCAATGTGTACTTTACAAAATAGGAGCATGGGAAGACAAGGCAGCCATTCGACCCATCCACCAGCATTGCAGATCAGCGAACATCTCAATCCCATTTTGCGAAGGTCTTTGAGACGTCTCAAAGATGTGATAAGGCGCTATATCAAATGCAAGGATTAATTTTATTATTTTCTTAACTTTCCTCCATACCTCTTGATCCCCTTCCTTCCTAAATATCTTTCTCTCTCCCAAACATGCCAAATCGACCTTGCCTTTAAGGCATTTTGGGCAATGCCTCCCACATTTCTGAGTGAATAAGTATTTCACTTTTAACTAGCTAACATTAATCATTGGCATATACTTTTTTAAGTGCTTTGATTAACCATAAAGTACTGTGTACAATTCTTGTCGTTATGATACAAGTGGCCTCCTCGGACCTAGGGGCAGTGCAGGGAACAAAAACTTTGATTTATATAGTGCCGTTCATGTGGGGTAACTTAAATAGAGAAGTAAGCCAAGCAAATATTTCTTTACTCAGATGTAATTAAAGGCTGAAACATTCCATTGCCAGGAAAGGTAATTGCACTCATTTAATTAGCAGCTTGATATTGTTATGGGGCAGGAGGGTGGGTATTCTGGAGGGATGAGATCAGATGGGCCTTCATCCAAACCAATCGTGTGATTTTGTGACTATTTCTATTTGAGGAGAGTT